GCTTTTTCTGTGAAAGACCAGACAGTACACATCCAGGGCTTTGCCAGCCACGCTATTCAGCTGTCTTCTTATAGTTGAAAGCAGCTGTAGGCAAATGATGGGCGTGGTTAAGTGCCAATAAAGTCTTATTTGTGAACTTTGAATTTTGTGCCTCATGTAACAATAAATATTAAGCCTCTTTTCATTTAAAAATTGAAAATTTGGCCAGGCATTGTGGTGCAGATAATGTAATTCCAGCTACTCAGGAGGCCGAAGTAGGAGGATCACAATCTGAGACCAACCTCCAGCAAAAACATAAGACCCTATCTGAAAAACAAATTAAAGCAAAAGGACTGGGGGGCATGGCTCAAGTGGCAGATTTTTTGCTTAGCAAGTCCAAGGCCCTGAGTTCAATTCCCAGTACCTAAAAATTTAAATAAACAACATAAAAATGAAAAATTCATTTAGTTAGCAAGCCATAAAAAGAGGCAGTAAGCTTTATTTAATGTTGGCTGTCACTAACCCATCAGTATAGGGATGATCTACAACCACCTAACGAGACCACAGGACAGAATTCTCAGTAGCTAAGCAATGCACTTTGAAGACAGAGACCCAGGCTTGGGTCTTAGCTTTGCCACTCCAAGGTTCGAGCCTAAGTTCCCTTATCTTCTACCACCAAGTGAGTTTGCTCACCTACAAAACTGTGACTTCTTTGCAAGGTACAAATAAGTCCCATAGAAAAGGGGATTGTCTTATAAAAGATTGCAATAAAAGGCTGCTGGGAATGTCTGTGTTCTTCCTCTTTGTAGTACTGGGGATTGAACCCAGCCAGGGCCTCTGGCATGCTAGAAGCACTCTCATCACTTGAACCACACCTCTGCTTTTGTGTTTGTATTTTGGTTTTGAGATAGGCTTTCACTGTCTTTGCCTGGGCTGGCCTTGAACTCATGATCCTCCTGCCTTAGTAGTTGGTATGCACCATCAGGCCTGGCCTGATGAAATTGAAACCCCATAAACAACAGTAAAACCGTTCCCATGACCTGCAGAGGATGTTTCATTCCAGAAAATCCTTGTGTAGCCCTTTCCACTTCCACATTTTCCTTTTAAATTTCTTTACAGTCATGGCAAGTCTTGTCTTAAGGTGAGATGCTGAGGGAGCTGACCCTCTTCTCCCCTAAACTGTGAAAGTATCACACAGGGGAAGCTTGCAGAACTCTCGGAATCGTGAGTGATGTCAGAAGGCACTGCCAGTCATGTTTAGAGGAGAAAAGGCTGATAAACACAGTCTTTAACACCTCACTTTCTTTCTAGCAGTCAACCCTTTCTACCATGCCGTTCAAGGAAGAAAGTATACTGGTAACAGAATGAAACACAAGCCAGTCTTCTGGCACCAAGTCAATGTAGAACTTGAATGAGCTCAGCTGGATCACGGGGGACAACCCTTTGGCCTTCAGCCATGTTGAAGCAAGTGGCCAAAAGCCGAGGCATGCCAAAACCTAGCCTAATCACATCCCTGAACCCAATTTTGAGTCTCAAACGTGAGGCACAGGTGAAGGAGCCAATCTCTGCACCTGTGAGAAAAGTCAGCAGAGGAAACAGATTGCTCACAGCTGACCTCCAGCTCTGAGCCCATAGTAATGCTTGAGAAATGTTAGAATGGGGGGGCCAGGCTTGTTCAGGGAGCCTGCCTACCCTTAGTAAAATACCCGCTTTCTCCTGCCTTGAGTTTTGCAAACTGTGGACAGCTTTAAAAACAAACCAACCTAATAAGGACCCCCTTGAGATAAAAGCTGGCAAAAAATCAGATTTATAGTCCGTATGTGTCAGGACAGGTAATAGACCAGTCTTCCCTGGAGCCTGCTTAGCCTGCTTTTAGCTCCTGGACATAAAAGTATGCTGGCTTGTGTACTTGAAGGTTGGAAGGGAGAGGTGTGGGGTGGGCTGTCTGAAGCTTGTCCGAGTACAAGAAGGAAGAGGGAGCCTACTTTTCCTGGATCTCTGCCACCTGGGATCTAAGGTAGGTCTCTGAACCAGGAAAGACCTACAGCACTGCCCAGCAAATCTCAACCATTTGCTATTTTAGTATTCCCCAGCTCCTCTGCACTTGGGTAGGCACTAAAATAATGATACTCCTTGCTGTGGTCTCTGTGAGAACTCTTTTGAGTTCCCTATGTCCCCTAACCCAGGTTAGGACCTGCTGGTGGAATTCTGCTGTAAGCTGTTTGTTCACTGTGGCTTCTTTTTCAAGGCTGACATGATCTGGACAGGAGTTGAGATGATTCTGCAGGACTCATGTTCCTATGTCCCAGAGCTCCTTGCTGGGGAGAGGTGCAGATGGGAAGGATAACCAGAGCAGCTGCCAACCATATTTCTTCTCTGATCCCTTCTTGGGTCCCAGGAGCTGGGCTTACGCCAACCCTACATGATTAAGTTAGCTGCCTCATACCTCCCAATCTAAGTCTCTGTGTGGCTCCTAAAGCCAAATTAGATTAACTGACATCTTCTACCCTGCATTTATTTTACTCCTTGCAGAATAGTCTTCTTTTTTATGAAGTATTGAACTCTTCTCAGCGTCTTTTGAGAACTCAAGGCTCATAGCACACCACACAGGTTCCTCATGCCACTGTGTCCTCCTGTGAGGGACTTGGAGGGGTGCAATGACCATCACCATCTGGGGTGCATGCAATACCCACTGAGAAGTGTAGGGAGATTTCAGCTTTTTCTCTGTTTCCTTTCATCAGAAAGACAGAGCATCTCTGTGGTCTACTCTTGAAGGTAGAGGTGTTTTTGAGCTACTCAGATCTGTGCTCACATTGTGACCTTACCACTTGCCACCTTAGAGAAATTAACAGTCCCTTCATTTGCAAATGAAAAAGGATGATTAGACCAACCTTACTGGGATGCTCTGAAGATTAGTGGATGATGCTTATTAAGTAGTGAGCCCTAGGCCTGTTGTAAGTGCCTGTGCCCAGTGTCAGGTGTGGGTACACACTCATGTGGATGAATAAACGCTTGTTCCTTTAAGAACAGCTGGGTAGGCATTGCTATGGTTCAGCAAATACTACTTAAAAAGGCTTTTTTTTCCTTGATATCACTAAAAATACATGTGTACTAAGTAAAAATTTGGAAATAAGGAAAACAATACAAATCACATGAGATGATTATTGCCACCATTCACAAACTGCACATTAACCTATTCAAATTGTATTTCACATAGGATCAGGCTATGTAGAGTGCTGTATTTTTATTTTACGTACTATCAATAATTTATTTCCCTAAAACCAGTTGCTTTCCTACAATATTTTGTTTGGTTGCTTTTTTATTTTTGTTTTTGTTTTTTTTCCGGCTTGGGAATTTGAACTCAGGGGTACACACTTGCTAGGCAGGCATTCCACCACGTGCGCCCTGCCTCTGGGCCTTTTTGCTCTGGTTACTTTGGAGATAGTGTCTCACTTTTGGCCTGGGCTATGATCCTCTTATTTATGCTTCCCACCATAGCTGGGATGACAGGCGCCATACCACCATCCCCAGCTTCTTCTGTTGAGATGGGGGTCTCACAAACTTTTTGCCTGGACTGACCTTAAATCACAATCCTCCCAATTTTAGCCTCCCAAGTAACTAGGGTTACAGACATGAGCCACCAGCATCCAGCTTACAGTATGATTTTTTTAACAGTTATACTCTGTCCTGGATATATCATAGTTTATGTATTCCTATGTTGTTGAAAACTGCACTTGTTTCTAGTTTTTCACTGTGACAAACTCTGCTTGAGTTACCTGTGGCTTTATAATTCCCCACATTTATAACTTCAAAACAAAAAGGTTCCCAAAGGCAAATCATGCCAAAAGTAGAAACATTTTTAAGACTTTGGATGTTGACATTTTCTTCCATAAAGGCTTTGCCATTCTAAACTCCCATCAACAGTGGTCCCCCTTCATACCTTCCTTGGTTCTGAGAATTAATTTATGTGAAAGCTCTGCTATTTGACATAAATAAAATTTTATTTAATTATGATTACTTAAAAAAATTTTTCGGTTCCTATCCTCTGTCATATATTTTTGTTGATTTATTTAGTGCACTCCACAAACAATATTTAAAGATTTTTTGCTATTATATTGGTTGCAAATATTTACTCGCCAGCTGTTTGCTTTCTAATCTCCCTGAAAGTGAGGTTTGCTATTCTCTGCTTCTCTTTCGCTGCCCCTGTGCCCTGGCTGTCAGTGTGTAAATGCCTCTCTCCATCAGACCCCTCTTCCCTCCATCCCTCAGTGTCTATGTGTCTTCCCCTACCCCATCTTTCTCACTCTTTTATCTGTCAAACTGTATATTTCGAGCCAAAGCTATTAATACTTTCCTTTATGACTTCATATTTTTTGTTTTGCTACAAAATCATTTCTTACCCAGAAATCACAAAGATACCTACATATATATTTTCCCTAAATTATTGGTTTATCCTGAATTGGTTTCATTATGAGTGCGAATGGGGATCTATTTTTTTTTAATAGAAATTATGTCAAAAACTATTAAAACTAATCATGAATGGTGTTTAAGATCAGTAGATGGACAAGAATAACCAAAGCTAAGGAATCCAGATAGGAATATATTTAAGAGGTTTTTTTCTAAAGGGAAGAAGCTGAATCCTCGTGAGAAGATTGTAAACTTGCAGTTTAAATTAGATTCCAGATCAACCTGCTTTCACACCTCATGAGCTGGCTCATGGAGTGATAGTTCATACAGTTCACTAAGGGTCTTTTTCTCTGGGTATCTTTTTAGTGCAGCCGCCTTCTTTCTGCCATGGTGTCTGGGTTTGGAGCAACCTGCCCTGGTGAACAGCATCTCTTTCCAGGAAGCACACCTGTGACGTTCTCTTCAGTCTCTATGAAGTCTCTCTAATTTAGTGAGGTGTTTGCCTAGCCTCCACTTTCCCGGAACCCTGCCAGACTTGAAACAGCCTGCAGGTAAAACATGGCAGAATCTGCTCTACTCTGAAGAGCACTGACCCTTAGTCTCTCTTGTCTCAGGAAAAGATGAAAGGCAAGAACAAGCTGGTGCCTCGCCTGCTGGGGATCACCAAGGACTCGGTGATGCGTGTGGACGAGAAGAGCAAGGAGGTGCTACAGGAGTGGCCCCTTACCACGGTCAAGCGCTGGGCGGCCTCACCCAAGAGCTTCACGCTGGTAGGGAAGGCAGGAGTCCTGGAGAGATCAGTGTAGCCTCGGATGACACTGTGGGACAGGAGAGAGACTAGATCCTTCCCAAGGAGTTTCTCTGGTCTTAGAATGCCAGTGCAAAGAGGGGAAAATGGTGCCAGTCCATGGGCATGAGGGGACAGGTCCAGAAGTAAGGGAAGTGTGAGCAGGACTGGGTTTCTTCTCTTGTTCATTATCTGGAAAGAGATGCTCACCAGGAGTTTCTCAGTTGTGTGTTCCTATGACATCCCTAGCACATCCTGAAAGGAATCTTCTGACACTCTTAGGCCCACACACACAAGTCCCCAGCCTGCCCAGAAAAAGCACAATATATAGTTTAACAACATAGATTTGGGGTAATATTAAAACCTCATCTTGTCATTTTTTATCTCTGTGACCTTCGTGCTGCCTCTCCTCTGTGAGCTCTAATTTTTTCAGCTATGAGATGGGGACAATAATGCCTACTTCACAGAATTTCTAGCGTTGGAAGAGAAGATGATGATAGAACAGTGTGAAATTCATGGATAGTCAGAAATGTTTGCACCAGCCCTTCAGACCTCTGGAATTCCTCCCCCCATCTCAACATTTGCAATTAGTGGAATATAATATACTACTGGCATAGAGCCACCTTTATGTTTGAAACTTGATAAGGCAGGTGGTTTGTAAGACAGGTTGAGCAATAAGAAGAACCAAAAGGTTGTGGGACTTATTTTCCTCAGACATTCCAAAGTCTTTGGTGATACTTGAAATATATTTAGACAAGCTCTCATAATAAGGCATTAAAAAGTTTGGAAGGGGTTATTAGTTATCTAATTTGATCATCATTGATAGGCACAGACCAGTTGGAAAGAATTTTCAGAAATATACCTCCTAAAGTCAGTATTGACTATACCAGCATGACCCCTTAAACATGGGTGCTCATATTTAGAGAGTCAGGTGCTCATTTTCTATCATGGGAATTCAAGGATTACTTCTCAAATAAATTGATATAACATGTAACATGCTGTTTAGAAATACTAGAAGAGACTGCTAAAATACTTGATAATGTTACCTTGGGAGGGGTGGGGGAAATAAGGGTAGGCATGAATAGCACAGGGGACAATTATCTTTCATTATATATCGTTTTATTTTGGTCTTTTAAAACTAGGTCTAAGTATTACCTTATTTTAAACAATAATTGTTATGACCTCAGTAACTATCTCAAGCAGAAGAAAGAATAAATGTCAATATTTTCACTAGAGTATAAGGTTGGATTAAGGCTTGAAATAGATAGTATTTCTTTCCTTCTTACTCCTCGCTTCAATCTAATTTCCAAACATTTAGAGATTTTCCTATTTTTCTATATTGATTTCTAGTTTCTTCTATGGTGGTCAAAAGTCTGAAGAGTTCGCTGTTGTCTTTGTATTATTGATTTTAGTTTGATTCTATTAAGATTGTAGTATGTACTCAGTATAATTTCAATTTTTTTCTTTACTGTTAAGGTTTATTTTATTTATTATTCTTTACTGTTAAGGATCTGACTATTCTAGTAGTTCTTGGAAAGACTGTTCTGCTGTTGTTAGCTAAAGTTTGTTGTGGAAATACCAGTTAGGCCCCAAGTGGTTGATGGTGGTGGTCTAGTTTTCTACATCTTTGTTAGTTTTCACTGCAGCAATTCAGTCATTTTCTGAGAGTAGAGTTGTCAACAATAATTGATCTACCAACTCTTAGCAGTTTTCGCTTAATGTATTTTGAAGCCTCATTATTTAATGCCTATTATTTAAGATTCTTATGTCTTCTTAATGGAACAATTGCTTATCATTATGTAATATCCTTTTATTCTAGTAATTTTTTGCTCTGAAGTCTGCTTTATCTGGTATTAAAATAGCACTAAAACTGGCGCGGGTGGTTCATGCTGTAATCCTAACTGCTTGGGAGTCTGAGATCTGGAGAATTGCAGCTCAAGGCCAGCTCAGGCAAATAGTTAGAGACCCCCATCTCAAAAACAACCAAAGTAAAATGGACTGGAGGTGTCCTCAAGTGGTAGAACACCTGCTTTCAAGCCCAAAGCTGAGTTCAAACCCCTAATCTCATGAGAAAAAAAAGAAAAGAAAAACAAAGTCTTCATGTTTTTACAATTAATGTTTGTATATCAGTTTTTACCCTTTTGCTTGCAATCCACATACACTGTTACATTTTGAAATGGATTTCTTATAGAGAGTATAATTGGTTGAATTATGTTTTTTCTTTTTATTCCATTCTATCAATCTCTGCCTTTTAACTGGAATGTAAGACTATTTACATTTAAGCTATTTATTGTCACATTAGGGCTTAAGTCTAGCTTTTATAACTTTGTTTTCTGTTTGCTTCTTTTCCTTGTCTTCCTGTGAGTAATTTGAACATTTTAAAGAGCTCCAGTTTGATTTATTTATGTTTTCAGGCATATCACTTTGTGTAGCGTTCTTACTGGTTATTCTGGTTTTCATACCTACGTGTGAAATTAACTATACCTACTGGTGGTGATGTTTTACCACCCTGCACGAAGTATAGAAACCTATTTCCACATCAGTCTGTTTACCCTTCCAACCACATGAGATGGTGTTACAACTTTTGCTTCAAACATAAAATATGATTAAAGAAACTGAGGAGGAAGGATAGTGTATTACATTTGCGTCTATTTTAATTCATCTGATTGTTCTTATTTCAGAAGTTCCCAGTGTTCTTCTGTTCATCTGTCTCTGTTTGGAGAGCTCCCTTTATCTCTTCTTTAAGGGGTGGGTCTGCTAGGAACAAATTCTTAGTTCTTCCTAATCTGACAATGTTTCATTTTCTGTTCATTCATGAAGGCTAACTTTGCCAGATATTTGGGATTGACAGTTCTTTTCTTTCAAGCTCTTAAAGAATGTCATGCCATTTTTTTTTCATCTACATGTTTTCAGACTAGACATTTGCTGCCATTGAAGTTAATTTGTTCATAGGAGTATGCCATATGTCATATTTCTCTGTTTTTAAGGTTTTTTTAATTAGTTCTTTTTTTTTAGTTGATGTGGGTTTCTTAGAGTTTATTCTATCTGAGGCTCGTTCACCTTCTTGAATTTGTAGGCTTACATCTTTAACTAATTTTGGGAAGTTCTCAGCCATTATTTCTTTTTAAAAAAAATTTGTCCCACATTGTCTTCTCCTCTGTTATTCTGATGACATTAATGTTAGATTTTTTTGTTGTTGTTGTCCCCTAGATTGCTGAAGCTCTTTGCTTTTTAGTTTATTTTGTCTATTGATCTATTTTTAAGTTTCTGATTCTGTTCTCTGTTACCTCCATATTACTATCTGGTATGTCCTGTCAGTTTCTTGTTTTGGTTATTGTATTTTTTTTCAGTTCTATAATTTCTATATCTGGTTCTTTGTTCTGATTTCTGTTTGTTTTTTGAAACTTATTTTTTCCTTTGTTTCAAGAGAATCTATAATTGATTTTTGAAGCATTTTTATTATGGCTACCTTAAAATCCTTATCAGGTAAGTCTAATATCTGATTTGTTTCAGTTATTGGCATCATCATTTGTCTTCTATTGGGGTTGTCCTGACCTTGACATGGATTTTTAAATTATTTCCTTGACATCTTGGTTCTTAAGTTAAAGACTCTTGATCTTACTTAAATTTTCTACTTTACCAGGCAGCCTCCTTGTTCAGATTTAGTATATAGTGCTCTGGCCTACTGTATGGGTTTTGTTGTAATGGCAGATTTATCTTTCTGAGCCTTCACAATGCTGCTGTGGACAGCTTTGTCCTTTGATAATACTTGGCCTGTGCTTCAGCCATTGGTTCTATCTGTGAGGGCAGAGGGCACTTCCGTAGGTTATTAGACACTAAGCCTGACATTGCTCAGTGATCTTTGTGGAGGAGGCAGAAGCCACTAGCCCTAAGTCCCTGTGTGTCACTGGGTGCAAGGCAGGTAGAACAGAGCTTCTCTATGTTTGCTGCTGCAGAGGGGTCAGAATACCCATGTTGCACTGCTCTGCAGTGCTGATGAACCGCAGCCAGGTCAACCAGGCAAGTTGTGGCTCCCATCTAGATCTGCTTGAGTTTCCCCTTCCTGGTCCCTTGACCAGAGACACAAGGCTTTCCAGGAACTTCCTGTAGTACTATAGGAAGCAGACTTCCTCAACTCCTGGGCATGGAGGTGACTGGAATTTAAAAGGAAACCTGAGATCACTACATTGGGATTCCTTGAGTCCTGAGGCCGCCAGCCAGTCTGCTTTTCCTCTTTCCATTTTACCCTTGTTGAATAAACTTTAAGGCTTTCAGTTTTATTTAGCAGGGAGGACAAGAAAAAGTGGGCCTGTGTTCTGTTGTTCCCACAATGGACCACATAGGCTTTAACACTGACAATGGATCTGACGTAGCTGTTTCTTCTAATGCTGCCTTCTCAGGATTTTGGGGAGTATCAGGAAAGCTACTATTCAGTACAAACCACCGAGGGAGAACAAATATCCCAGCTGATTGCGGGGTACATTGATATCATCCTCAAAAAGGTATGTCTTGTTGATGCAAAATGAAAAAGCAAGACTGCTTTATTAAAGGGCTTAGTTTAGATGATATAATTATGATGAAAAAAAAACTTATCAAAGTATTTGATTCATAAATTGACTCTTCAATGTTAAGATTGCTTGAGTAAGAGATGTTCCACCTCAAAATTCTGTGAGAATTTCTGATTTTGCTGTAGCATTCACCACCAGGAAATGAGTAGTAGTCTGTCCCTCAGCTAATGAGGGAGGCTAGCTGATCCCAGCACCTTCCTCTTCAGGGAGCTGTTTTGCTTTCCAGCCTTCACAGAAACCCAAATTGAGGGGCTAAAAGTGCTCTTTGTAGCTTTCATGGGCTTGTGTTGTTGTTGCTTGTCTTTGTTTTTACCAACTATAACAGGGCTATGTGCCTCGTTGTGTACAGAAAAAGAGATTTCTTGAGGCTTTGTTCCTTAAGCCCATTCAAATCATCAAGTTTGGACAGAATGTGAATAAGTGCACCTTGATGTTTTGCTATATGAAATCTTTGCAATATAAAGACAAGACATTTTATATCTATCTATTAGATCACATATTTCCTTTATTGTTATCATGCTTTTGTTCATCTATGATTTATTAAATATCCAATACAAAGAATTTAGGGGTAAACCTCATTTTTTGCCTGTGTCCCTTTGAAAGTTCTGTTCAAAGTTCCTGTGTTAAATAGACCTGCTCATTTTCATTTTCGCATCTTATTTCACCTCTAGAAACAAAGCAAAGATAGATTTGGACTAGAAGGAGATGAGGAATCAACTATGTTAGAAGAATCAGTTTCCCCAAAAAAGTAAGTATCAGGAGTGCTGGGGAGCCGCCTTCTCCAGCAGTCAGCAGGCAGTCAAGTCTTGTCCTCCAGGTGTGCCCCCCCCACCCCGCCCAGACTGGCAGTGTTGGTCTTGCAGGTGTGTTGTGTGGGCTAAGGATTGCAAGGAAACACACTGAGCAGGGGGTGAAACTTTAGAGACAGTGAGCCTTCCTGAATCCCATTTTGCATTTCTGGTTAGAACCCTATGAATTGAATTTTTATCATCAAAAAAGCTGAAAAGTCTTCTGTTTTATTGTTTTATTCTGACCCTTTTGGGGGAGGTGTCCTAAGGTCTGGCCAATGGAGGAATGGACAGGTCACTGTCTATGAAGCGCTCACCATGTGCCATGATTGTTGTCTCTCAAGGGGAATGGGGTTCGAAACTTGGACTCTGGAGCCAGCCTGACTGAGCTCAGATATGGAGGTCTGTCTTTTGCTCTGTGGCCTTGAGTTCTCTTCCTACATGAGCCCATCTACAAAACAGGGATAATAGTACCACTTTGTAGATTTCATTTTGATGCTGGAGTTACTAATAAAGCACATAAAACAATGCCCGGCACATAGTATGTGATATTGTTAGGGTCATCATTATTATTTTAAATTCAAAACAATCTCAAGTCAGATTTATTAAAATTAAGGAACATCTAAGTGATACCAGTTAGGAAACCTGCACAGACACCTTTTTTATGTTAAATAGAATTTTACAATAACTGTTCTTGTCTACATTTCCCTGTGTGTGTCCAGCATGCTGTATCATTTGACTCTAACATCAAAAGATAGGCCAGGTGTTATCATCCCAATTCATGGATAAAGAAACCAGGTATCATGAAGTTAGCTGAGTTACACGTTTGTGGCAGAACCAGAATGCAGATTCAGATCTTGAAATGTTCCTCAAAGTATGCCAGAAAGTTCTAGCATATTCTAATATAATGAACTTACTTAGCCACAGAAGTTGTTTCTTTAACATTTCTGCCCTTTCCACCACTTTCTCAGAACTAGCTTCCTAACCCTGAAGGCACTTTCCATTTGTCCCCCATGAGTACACAAGATGGAATCAAAATGGATGAGGTACATTTCAAGTACTTTTTACCCTATGGCAAAGCACCTTAATTCTTGGAATTATAAATGCCCATTAGTTGGAAACTGTTAAGCCAGTGCTTCCTGATAGGTTGAGCTGTTCATTCTGGAGAACTCTGATGCACTTGCACTTCCCATAGGAGCAGCCTAGTAAGCAACTGAGCCTGCTTGCTAGGGCCTCCCCTGCCTGGGGCACAGAATCCTCCTCCACTGCTTTGGGCATTGCTGTGGGTTTGATCCAGGCACAGGAAAAATGTTCCAGGTGGTCTATCACCAGGCCTTCTAGCTCTTCCTGTATGGGTCTTTGACTGGCATCTCAGAGAACTGCTGACTTCCTCCTGGAGCCCACAGACCTACCCTCCAGAGGGTCTCCCCCTCCACAGACATTGATGTCTCTCTGTAGATAATCTGTTGCTCCTGATCCTAGCTTGGCTGTCAAGCCTTGCAGGGATGGTCTGTGATGGTTTGAGGCAGAAGCCCCTGCCTGCTAATACAGCAGCTCTCGCACCTGCCCCCTGTCACAGACACGCACAGGCACCCCAGACCCTCCCTGTGGGTTTCTCCACTGGGCTTCTGGAGCTCTGCCTTCTTACCTTCAGATGAGCAAAGTCCATTGTTCCTGCCACTCATTCTCAGGAATCATCAGGAAGTAAAAAGTGTATAAATCCTCCCACTCTCTAGTTGGAATCATTTGAAAAAGTTGCAGATGTCTCTCAAGGTTCTAGAAATAAACATCTTCCATAATCGGTAGACTTGAACCTGGAGGAGCAGTGCTAAGTTCTGGGAGAGTTTCTTTAAGTTTGTTTGCACATTGCTCCCTCCAGCTAGAAATAAATGACATCCATCTCTGGTGCCTAGACTGGAAACTGGCTTGTGTAGACATTTGCTGAATCTTTTCGTTTGGGTATGATTTACGAAATGATAGATCAGTGTGTCTGAAACCTTCCCTTAGAACTTCATTTTGGTTTCATTTGGGAAAAACTAAATGCAGGATACCATGAACCTATTTAGTGGGGGAAATCAAGACTAGATCTCTACCCACTGTTCCTGGCAGTGTTCAAATCAGGGTTCTTCTGCAGGACTCTTGCTGCTACTACTTCATTCTTAAGTTTCTGTCTGGATGTCCTTCTTTAAATTAGCCTTCCTGACATAAAGCAACAGACATCTGTCCCATCTGTATTATCTTACTGCCACATTCACACGGTGGCCACCTCTCACTGACCAGCCACCTTTACCTTTCTCTGCAGGTCCACCATCTTACAGCAGCAGTTCAACCGGACCGGAAAAGCAGAGCATGGTTCAGTAGCCCTGCCGGCAGTGATGCGCTCGGGCTCCAGTGGGCCTGAGACCTTCAACGTTGGCAGCATGCCCTCCCCGCAGCAGCAAGTCATGGTTGGACAGATGCACCGAGGCCACATGCCCCCACTGGTGAGGCTTCCCGTGTCCATCCCCTGCCTGTTGGTATGCTACCCCCAGTGTACATGGGAGCCTGTGCTGTGGGAGCTCTCTGGCCCCTGTCTGGCACACAGCACATGGAGCCCTGCGTTCTTTCAATTGGATGGCAGTGATTACAACTATCGAGAATTAGACAGAGGTTTCCTCTGGCTGGAGAGGTAGGAACCTTCCAGCATGATTCATGCTGTCGGGACAGAACCCTGCTCCCCCGCCACAACAGCATCAAGCTGATTGGCCCAGACACTCTTGAGTAATCAGAATCACTAATGATCCTGATGGTTCACCCCCACGGTGCTAGGCTGTCTGACTCAGTGCCCCTCAGGCACATCTGAGGAATCCCTTGCTATTGGACAAGAACTTTTGAGAGCCCAAGAGTATCAATGCTCAGAAGAAATTTGACTAAAAAAGCAAATCAGTCAGATCAGTCAGTTTGGGTGGAACCCTGAAGTACTGATACAAGATGTTCTTATTCAACAACCATATGTTTTCTGTGCATGCACTCTTTTGTCCTCAGTACTCAAAGACCAGGTAGATCATCTTAGCTCCCTGCAAAGACTGTTGTCAGGGTTCTTGTTGGCTAATTAAGCTCTCTACACACTGATTATAATCCCTCTACTGCAGTCACTTTTGTTTTGTTCTCTATTAATATAATGCACTGTCTATTTCTGGCCCCAGGTTGAGACAGGAGCTAGGCGAGGTGCTGGTTGAGATGTGCCTTTGGACGCGCTCCACGTTCAGTTTTGTATGAAGCTTTGCACGTGTCACTGCTAACTGCCTTGTGTTCATCTGCCTTTGCAGACTTCAGCCCAGCAGGCCCTTATGGGGACCATCAACACGAGCATGCACGCCGTCCAGCAGGCCCAGGATGATCTCAGTGAGCTCGACTCACTGCCCCCTCTCGGCCAGGATATGGTAACTATTAATCAGTAGTTTTTATTCTGAGCCTCTGTTCTAGCAGAAAGTAAGGCTATACACTCCATCTAGATTCAGCTAAGTGAATGTCTGTTTTCTGCTAGGCAGTCAGGAAATGTATGTGTGTTCCAAGGTGTGGGGTCTGTGTCTCTTAGTTGCACTCACAGGAGAAGCGAATCATTGCTGCTGGCTCTTGGCAGTGCCACTGGGCTGAGAACTTGAACTCTAGAGTCAAGTGGTCTAGGTTCAGATCCCAGCTTCCCTACTCACCAGCTATGTAAATCTGGGCAGCTTCCTGTCTCTGAGCTTCTACTTTGCCATCTGTAAATAGGGCCATAGAGATGTGGTTATCTAATTCTTAACTCAGCACCTAGTCTGTAGAAAGACCTCAATAAGCATTCACTGTTCTTATTTTTACTACTACTATTTTTTACTGCCCTTTTAACATGTGGAAGAATCCCTTGGAGGGCTTGTTAAAGCACACTGCAGGACCCTAGCCCCATTCTTTCTGACTCAGTAGGTCTGAGATGAGGCCTGGGAATGTGTATTTCCAACAAGTCCCCAGGTGATATTGCAGCTGCTGTCCTGGGAACCATGCCTTGTGATTACTGCGGTGTGATCGCACTGGAGCAGGGCAATCAACACGGAGCCATTCCTGTGGCTGCTGCTGCACAAAACCAACTAACTCCTCACCCCTTGGGTTGGAATTTGAAGGCTGCCAGCACTGGGAGAGGTGCTGAATCGTAGGCCTGCCAACCTACTGAGTCAGAGTCTGCTCATCAGCCAGGCTCCCAGCTGCTCCACATGTGCTCTGAAGTTTGAAAAGCACTGGATAGCATCCTTCCTTCCCAGCTTTGAGCTCAAGCCACATAAATCAGTGTCACGGAGGATAGGTTGTACACGTGTGTTTTTACTCTCCCAGGTGGTTCTAATGGGCAGCTGGGCTTGAAAACCACTGGATAGATTGCCATTACAGCCTCATGTTGTCCAGCCAGAACTGCTGCCCTCCAAGCTGCTTCTGAATGCTGTTTTCTGTCTATATTCTGCTGTGCCTAGAAATTCCTCTTGCTCCCAAGTACCTGAAATCGTTAAGCAGTTCACTCTGGGGAACTTCAGGGTAAAAGTAGATAGCAGAGTCCCATACCCAAGACATTTGTGAGAGCTTAAAAATATATGGATGTAGCTTTCCTGTTTCACCAGCTTTCAGAGAATTAGAATGTAATCACGTCTTATTAGTGAGAGACACATCCTCAACCTAGATTAATATTTTGGGGATGCAGATTAGTGTCATCATTAACGATATAATGATCATGTGTTAAGTTCTGAAATGCCAGAAAACATAGAATTTGCTATCTGTAGGTTCAAATAAAGTATAATAATGGTAAAGGTTTTATATATAACTGTTGGATTCCTACAGTAGAAGAAAAACACAACACCTGAGTATAATTTGCCTAAGGTCCTGTCTCCTGTTAGCGGTGAAGTCACATCCAGGACAGAGGTCTTGGCCTATCATCTCAGCCTACTAGGAGCAGTGGTACACTCACAGGAGCATGGCATTCATTGTCTGCAAGATGGTTCATGTCAACAGGAGATACTTCCTGGCTCATAGAGAACTCTTGTGAGCTTATTCACCCTAATTCCAAAACACCCTAAAAAGCAAGGTGAAAAAGTACCAATAAGTGCTAGTGCTGACATACAAAATTATTATGAGACATTGATTTTTCTGCTCTTTTTCCATTGAATTCACCTAGATAAAGCCATGTAGAATTTTTCCCTAAAAAATCTTAACAGTTAAAAAAAATTAATACAAGACTCGGGGAGAATTTATATGCCATTCAACATTTCTGGACGATTAAGAGGTCTATTGAGAATATTGTTTAAAATGACTCAAGGTGACTCAAGGGCCCATTCAGTACTGGCCCTGGAAGGATAGTGTAGCCAAAATGCTGGTCTCATTTTATGGCACGACTTCTCTAGTCTCCTGGGTAATTCTGTTCTGTGATTGTATCATGCTTTTGTCTGGCTCTGCAGGCGTCTAGGGTATGGGTTCAGAACAAAGTGGATGAATCCAAACACGAAATCCATTCTCAAGTAGATGCTATTACAGCTGGAACAGCTTCAGTCGTTAACCTCACGGCTGGTAAGTCTCTCAGCGATTTGTAGTGTATTGTGGTTTGGGGCCAAAAAAAAAATTATTCTTTGATTGAAACAACAGATTTTTATATTATGAGAGGATATTCTATTTTAGGCACATGGCCTGCTTTAGTCATTTTCTCCCAATGATCCAGGAGAAATATAAGGAACATCTCATCTTTTTTGTCAATATCATGCCTCATCATGAAAACAGCTCTCTTCACTGCTGGATGGACTTCAAATTCTGTTGGGGCCACTTTCTCCCTTCGGGAAGCTTACAGTCTGAAAAGGGTCTTGAATGAACAAATTCATTATCCGTGCCTTCGCCTGTCTTGCCCAGCAGTGATCTCTTCTGCTTAGCATGGCTCCCGGCCTTGTGGCTTTCAAGTGAGAGCCAAGAAACAGCTTGGCTCCACTCTGCAGGGTACCACTGTTTCAGGAGCAGATGGATGTCCTGAACTGCTGATGGGGACTGATGAGGATAGACATGAGATGCTGAGGCTTTCTTTGCAATTTTCTAGGGGCCTTGCTCAGTATCTCAGTGACTGAGGATCTTATTGAAGTCCCTTGGAGACAAGGTGTGGTCCCTCTCACTGCTCCTGCCAGCGCTGTGTCTGGCTCCTACAGGATGGTGGGGGAGGAGCTCTTGCCATGTTGGGATTTGAAAATTCTCACCAGCATCACTTACTTCCTGCCAATTTAGGCCCTCTTCCATCACCCTCCTTTGATGGTGACAGTCCTTCTCTGTCCCAGGTGACCCCGCAGACACTGACTACACAGCCGTTGGGTGTGCAATCACCACTATTTCTTCCAACCTGACGGAGATGTCCAAGGGTGTGAAGCTTTTGGCAGCCCTCATGGATGACGAGGTGGGCAGTGGAGAGGACTTGCTCAGAGCTGCCAGGACCCTTGCAGGGGCAGTGTCTGACTTGCTGAAAGCAGTGCAACCTACTTCTGGAGAGGTGAGCTCCAAGGACAAGTAGTCACTTGGGTGCAAATGAAACAATTCTTTGGGAATTCCAAAGAATTCCTGAGCTCTGGCTTCCTGAGCTGTTGTCCATCCTCATGGGGCTGTCACTACCCAATAGTATTGAGAGTTGCTGAAATGGGAGCAGACACTATTGTTCCACCTTTTGAGGGTTTCAGTGTGTGAAACCCTCCCCACAAGGTACTTAATTTTATGCAACCCCAGGAACTTAACACACATGACTAGTACACATTTTTTTTTTTTTTTTGGTGGTACGGAGGTTTGAATTCATGGCTTTGCACTAGGGAAATTGCTCTACCACTTGAGCCACACCCCCAACCCCTTTTGCTTTAGTTATTTTTTTAATAGGGTTTCATGTTTTCTCCCCCAGGCTGGCCTGGACCGCGATCCTCCTACCTATACCTCCTGTGTAGCTGGGATACAGGCATGTATCATCACACTTAGCTTTATTGAGTGAGATGGGGTCTCCCTAGATTTTTTTTTTTTTTTTTTTTTAATGGTACTGGGGTTTGGACTTGGGACTTTGTGCTTGTTAGGCAGGAGCTCTACCATTTGAACCATGCCTCAAGCCCTTTTTGCTGTGGTTGTTTTGGAGATAGGGTCTCACTTTGTGTCTGGGCCAGCCTGGGTCATCCTGTTTTACCCTTCCCACTGTCACTGGAATGACAGGTACATGCCACCAAACCAACTTTTTTTTTTTTTTTTTTTAACGAAATGGGATCTCACACACTTTTTTGCCTGTGCTGGCCTAGAACCATTATCCTCCCGATTTCAACCTCGAGCATAGCTTGGATGACAGGTCATGATAACTTTTTACCTGGGCTGGCCTCAGACTGCCATCCTCCCAACCTCCATCGTCACCCCTAGCTACTGGGATTACCAGTATGAGCCAATGATTAGTTCACGTTCAAAAGATTTACAGTTTCACCCTCATTTCCATGAACCACCTCCACACTGGTTGTTTGAGGTTCATTAGTTGAACATTTCACCCCCATCCACCTGTTGCTGCTTTGTTAGACTGGGTGTTTCCTTGCACAGTTTCACCAGGATATTTTTGTCTCCTATCTGGCAGACACCCCGAGATTGTCATGTATGTATCAGAGGAAGAATCCTGTGTGATTTCTCTCTTTGCTGCCATGTCTGATGACGTGGTGGGAAAATGCATTTTCTCCCCAGCCAACATGTGTTCTTTGCTCACAGCCTCGACAGACCGTTTTGACTGCTGCTGGAAGCATTGGACAAGCCAGTGGGGATCTTCTGAGACAGATCGGAGAGAATGAGACTGATGAGCGATTCCAAGTAAGATAGATATTCACAGCCTCACAGCACCTGGCTCGGAGGCAATTTTTAATGGCATCACCTGTAAGCATGAAAACATATGCACACTCACATGTACACAGACAGTGTGGGTTTTCCTTTGTATTCAAGATGGTTCTATTTTCTGTGCCTTATCTAAAACCACAGATATGGTTGAGAAGTCTTTTTTGTGACCCTGATTTTTCAATACCAGGGAAATGTGCTGTTCGTCTTCTGGTGAACAGCTATAGCCACTGTTGGCAGCTGGCTTGATTCACTGCCCACATTATCAGAGTGCAACTCAGATGATCCCAGCTTGTCTACTCGTCTTCTTAAGTCTGCAGTGTTGCAAGTCATGCATAATCCATCCTAATTAGAATGAAGATGCCGTTTTCCAAATATGTCAAGTTCATTGTTTGGTAATTCTGCAGAATTTCACTGTAATTTTTTTCCCAAATTATTAAATTTTTAATGCAATATAACACCAGGGAGTTAAATTCTTATTTAGAAGAAATCTCATGAAATTTCAAATATATAAGAAAGAACAACACAAATATCACCAAATTCAGAAAAATTATTATTTTTATCAACTACCTGACACCCTAAATACTTTTTTTTCTTATATTTTTGGCTGCATTCTCTTTGACCACCTCTATACTTGGCAATGACTTTGTAATATTTTATAGAGATAGAACAAAAGCTTTTCCTCCTTCAGCTTTGTCTGGCATTACAGTTTCTTGCAAACTGTTGGTGGCAATTTTGCATGCCTTTTTCTCTACAACTACCAAGTTTTATCAGCACAAGATAGTCAAAGAGGCAAAGATGTGATCATATATGTGGTAAGAGATGAACCTTGCATCTTCATCTATAAAAATATTGTGTGTCCTTCCCTCTCCACATACTTGTGGTGATGAACATTCATATCATGGTAAATGTCAGGTCCCCATAATGGCTGCCTAGAAGCCATTTCTACACTGAGCTGGACAGGAGTCATTTCACTATAAACGAAACTGAGTGTAGGCTGCATAAAGACACCCCACTAAATCCAAGCACTTTGTGTCCCCATCCCAACCTCCCTTCCAGATGCCCACACTATCCTTGCACTGGTCTTATGTTTTGGGCTAGTACAGGTAATTCTTGGCAGGCAGGCACCTTCTTAGGAATTTGGCATGTGTTAGATTTGGTTGCTGGTTTAATAGTCTTAATTTTCTTGATGTACTCAATTCACTTTCCTCAAAAATTCTACTATCCCCAGGATGATTGAGGAGAGAGTCATAAGATATCTTCTTCCTGAAGATATCTTATGCATCCCTGTCTTTTTTAAGCCTTTTCTTCTGCCACCCTTGCTTTGTATGTTTGTTTGTTTGTTTGTTTTTGGTACTGAGGCTTGAACTCAGGGCCTTCAACATTCCACCAGCCCTATTTTTGTGAAGGGTTTTTCAAGAGAGGGTCTCGCAGAATTATTTGCCCAGACTGACTTTGAACTGTAATCCTCCAGATATCTGCCTCCTGAATTGCTAGGATTACAGGCATGAGCCACTGGTGCCTGGCCTGCCACCCCTTTTACACATTGTTTTCATGTGTTCAAATGCACATTCTGCTTTCTGATGTTTGTTTCTATTCAATATGCTAGGGAGGCAGGCTCAGGTTCAGAATGACTGGGTCGTTTCAATTAGTGTGAGGTCTCCAGGTATGGACCAGCGCAGTAAGGATATCCTCAGCCTCCTTCAGTCACATGAGCCCCTGGCTTACTCACGTTCCATTTCTTGTACTATTTTTCCACATCTTGACATCCTATCATGGACTTTTCTTGGGTTCTCAATGTACTGCATGTTCCCAGAGTTAACAAAGATTTATTTTACACAAGCTACATAATAGTGGTCTTGTTGAAAAGTTTGACAAAGGCCTTGTCAGCAACTATAGCTGTAGTATCAGTTCTTTTCCTAGCTGTATTTGTTTTGGACAAAATTAGTAGTAGGCACAGTATTTCTTTAAAGGACTCTAACAAAGCCCTGTAGAACAATCATGGTTCTACATAACAGCATCTTGGTCCTCATTTGAAAAGATAGATTCATATCAAGTAAAACTCTGTTAAAAACCTTTTGTAGCAATTTCTCACATTCAAGCTGTTTACACTGAACTTTGAGATAGATGTCCAAACTGTAACTTTGCCAGCTGCATTGGGAGCAGTTCCTGAAAGTTGTGTGACAGACAAGCACAATCCTTTTCCGAAGGCCTCGTCAACTTTCATTCCTACAGGACTTTTCCTTGGATACTCAGGGACCATCACAGACCTGTGAAACACTGGAGGAAACTGTTTGTTTAAAACCATTTGGGCTTTGTCCATTTTTATATCAGTTTAGTTGGTCTGTTCATGAGCTTTGGACCTGCCTGACTTGTACCTACTCTGTGCCCTGTGTAAAATGGTCCAGGCTGAACACTCTTTCCAATAGATTTGCTCATAAAATATCTCGTTATAAAGACTCTGTGGATGCCCTTTACATTTAGAATCAAAGTGCTTTTTATTATCTGATGAATTAATAGTCTTCTGACCACATTTCCTCTGGGGAAAAAGCCTTGACATGTTTGCTCAAAATAACAATGGCTCATATGTTTGGGAAGGCATTTCTAAATCAAATAAGCTGCTTTCAATATTAAAGAAGTAAATGAGATGCAACAGTGGTTATTCTTCAGATCAAACAGATGGGGGAAAAATCTGGTAGGTCAAGTCATAGATTCTCCATCCTGCAGGCAGAATGCCTTTTCACTGAGTTAAAGCCCCTTACATCTTCAGTCAGATCATCCCATCACTGGTTTATTTATGTAGATTCTCTTTCCTCTTTCCCTAGCCGTTTAGTCCCTATCTGAAAAGATACAGATGCTGAGGATAACTTTTGTTCTGAGCATTCCTGGGCTCTCCAGCTGTAGGTATTTGCGCCAGCTATTTGTGCATATCCAACGTTGCCCTCTGGAGGCAGAGACGTAGCTGACTCTTGGAGGATAACTCAGATTCTTGTGCAAACTAGAAATCCAAAAGATAAGTTTTTGGCTTACACTGGAGCATGAGGATTTGGGGACCATGGATTATAGCCTGCTTATAGCACATGGTGTTTTGGCATCTGAATGTATTTTCAGCTTCTTCTGATTCACTGCATCAAGCACATATTCAAGAGACAAGTGGCAAGGCTCAGTGTTGAATAAGGATATAAATATGAATCCATTTTTAAAATAAAAACCCTTCCCTCAAATTAACCTATTTTATGTTTAAACCTATCTACTCAATATAGGAAGAGTCTGTGTTAGTAGGACACAAGTCTCTTAATTATTCTTAAAGATAAGTTGACATTTTTCAAAAAATAAATGAAAAAATATTTAAAATACTAAAGGAAAAGATGAAATGGAATTTTAATAAGATGTTTAGGTGGACCCCATAGCCTGTGAAGGGTGATTAGAAAGCAATGAATGGTCTTTGACCCCTTTCCCTAGGACGTCTTAATGAGTTTGGCCAAAGCTGTTGCCAATGCTGCCGCCATGTTGGTGCTAAAGGCAAAGAACGTCGCCCAAGTGGCTGAAGACACTGTCCTACAGAACCGGGTGATTGCTGCTGCCACTCAGTGCGCCCTTTCCACCTCCCAGCTTGTGGCATGTGCCAAGGTGAGTCAGCTGTCACCCCTCAGCCCTTCCTGCAGGGACAGAATTTATTAAAATTCTACATCTCAGGCACAGAGCTTGCTTCAGGTGTCTAGGTGACATGATAGAATTTTATTATAAACTGCCTAATTCTGAATTTATCATTTCTTTGTTCAAGTCCTTGGGCAGTTGTTCCTTTCCTCTCATCCATTTTTATATGCAAAATGTTGTGTCCCCCTTTGGACTTCTCAGTGCATCTTATTTATATGCACAGAATGCGTCCTTGCCTTGTGTGGTACAGCATTATAAGTAGACTCAGAAATAATCCACAGCTTCCTGGGGAGGCCTATCTGCACTGCAGTGTGCAAGCGAGGATGTGAACTGTTTTGGGGTGTGCACGCTCTCCCCAGCAAAATGCAAGTCATGCACCATTGTCCCTGTTTGCTGATAAGAAACTTAAGACATTAGGTGTTCACAGGATCTTGCAGCCATAGAAGCAGTAGGTGGCAGAACTGGGATAGTAACTAAACCCTTCCCCCATCCCCTCACCACACGTGTCTTCTTCTGAGAACATGGGACTTGATAACATCGCATGCTAAGTCAATCTGTGATCTGGTCAAGCCTGCCATTTTCTGTCTTTGGTAGGATTTGCAGCATCAATCCGAGGTGTCTCAGTGGTCTCCTTTCTGCTTCCTGTGGTCACCTTGCTGGGATCCACAGATAACTGACAGAATCACCCGATCCTTAAAGTATCTTATAGCAGGTGCCTCTTGAAAAAATAATGCTAGTCTTTTTAGGTAGTCATCTTTTCTCAGCCAAAAGACTTCCTTCAGAGATGCTAAGAGGTATCATGGATACATACTAGAATCTTCTCTCTAAGGAAGAAGTCAGTAGTAGGGACTCATACTGACTAATGAGGATGTAAATTAGTGGGACATGTAAAATCACAAAGACAAATATAATAATGAAGTCTGGGGTTTGGTTAATTCCCTAATGCTTTAAGAACGGAACTGAGGCCCAGGGCATGCAGGCACTTGAGGATCCAGCATCATGACAGCAGCCAAGCCCCACTTCTGTCTTGCTCCAGGTCGTGAGCCCCACCATCAGCTCCCCTGTGTGCCAGGAGCAGCTGATCGAGGCGGGGAAGCTCGTGGACCGCTCTGTGGAGAACTGTGTCCGCGCCTGCCAGGCGGCCACCAGTGACAGTGAACTCCTGAAGCAGGTCAGCGCAGCAGCCAGTGTGGTCAGCCAGGCCCTGCACGACCTCCTGCAGCATGTGCGGCAGTTCGCCAGCCGCGGCGAGCCCATCGGCCGTTATGACCAGGCCACAGACACCATCATGTGTGTCACCGAAAGCATCTTCAGCTCCATGGGTGACGCTGGTGAGTCCCTGGCTGTGGGGGGATGAATGGGTTTGGAATTCCCTCATGGTGATCATCCTCAGGAAGGCGAAGGTCACTGAAGTGACCAGTGAGAGCACATTCTTGTCAGCCTCAGTCCAAGAGTTCCCCACTGAGGCTCAGATAAAAATAAGGGAGTTGTAACATGCTTGTCCATAACCACAATTAGACTTGTACACAGTTAGCTGGGTTTTTTATTAGAATTGGGATTCACTGTAAGTCCCTTTTGTTCTAAGAATGCACCTGTTAGATACAATATGGTAAAGTCAGAGCAGCCACCGAAGGAAACCTTGACAAGGCTCGGAACAAAGACCTTTATCCTACCTACAGAATGCCCTGGGGAGGGTCACCTCATGCCACACAGGGTGACAGAGGAAAACCCAGGGTGGGCAGGAAGCAGAAGTAGGAGTTAGGGGAAAACCTAGACCATGGCCATCATTGGAGCTTCCTGGGACAAAACCAAGCAGCAGAACAGACTACTATGCTGTGATTTCAAAGTATATGCAGTAACTTTTTCAGTCTGTTTGCTAAAAGCAAATTGACCTACACTCAGCCTATCACTATGCCCAGAATCAGTCTAAACTCCCAGAATCAACCAGGTACCCATTTTAGGGATTTTTTTAAATAAATTTTATCACATATACTTAAAGTACACAGTATGTTATAAGGTACATATATTATAAAATGGTTGCTCTAGAAGGCAGAGTAACCTGTCATTTCATGCTACCCATTTTCCTTCCTCCTGCAGAAATAGCAGCTGAAACCTCATTTAGCAAAAATCCTGACCTTCCCACAGTTGTGTGTGAGAAAGGAACAGAGAGAGGGAGACCCTCATACCGTTTATATAAATAGAATTGTGTTATAAATACTATTTTGCACTTTTTTATGGAAGCATAGTATTCCATGTTGGAGGCATGGAATCCATCATTTATTTAAGCACTTATCTTAATTTTTTTTCAGACCCAGGGCCTCATACATGCAAGCACTCTACCACTAAGCTAAACCCCCTTAACCTTAACCAATATCCTTTTTTCTTTTTTACTAGCACATATTAATTGTACAAAACAATGGCTTTCATGATGACATTTTCATGCATGTATAAAATTTTCTTTTTTTTTTGGTGGTACAGGGGTTTAGATAAAGGCCTTACACTTGCTAGACAGGCACTCTACCATTTGAACCAGTCTGCCAGCCCCTTTTGGGTTGGTATTTTTGAGATAGGATCTCACTTTATGTTTAGGCTGACATGGACCACAATCCTCCTATTTATGCTTCCCTGAGTAGCTGGGATGAACCACTACTCCCAGCCCCAGTTATCTTTTAATGAACATTTAGCTAGTTTCCAAGTTTATTTTGCTTTTTTTAAAAAAAATGATACTGTAATAAGAATTCTTGAAAAAATAGCTTTCTTTGGGAGTTATGTATGTGGGGTAACTTCCTGCTGATGGAATTGCTGAGCCAGTAGGAACATAACATTTTTTTACTTTAAACTTATGAAATTTCCTCTCCAAAAGAACTCATTGAAACCCTTCTAGTAGTTCCTAAGAGATCTGTTTTCCTACTCCAGTGCCCACACAGAGAAATCCTGATAATAGTCTTTTTTAAAGAAAATGACCTTGTGCCCTTCTATATCCTTCTTAAATGACTTAAACAAAATAGGAGTGCTCCGTAAAGTTGGAGTTTTTGTTGTTCTTCTGGTTTTTTTTTTTTTTTTTTGGTTTTTCTTTAAACCTTTTATTTTTGAGTATTTCTAGGTTTACAAAAAGTCACAGAGGTAACAGAGTTCCACATGCCTTTCCCTTTCCCTTATGTCAAACAGCTTCCCTAACTCCTGTCATGTTTGTTAAAGCTAAGTGATAAGCAGAGGCATATTGCTGTTAATTAACTACAGACAGTATTTGGCAGGGTTTGGGAGGATTGGAGTTCAAGGCCAGCCTGGGCAAAGAGTTAATGAGACCCTCATCTCAACAAACAGGTGAGGCATGATGTGATATACTTGTGTTATCAGCTATGTAGGAAGTGTAGCTAGGAGGATCACAGACCAAGGCTGGTCTGGGCAAAAAGTGTAAGACCCTATCTAAAAAGCAACTAAAGTGAAAAAGGGCTGGGGTACTGCTCAAGTGGTAGAGCCAAGCACGAGAGGCTTTGAGTTCAAACCCCAGTACCACCCAATATAAATAAAATTAGAAGCTTTTCTCTTCCCTCTTAATATTACTGTGTTCCAGCGTTCTCAAAGGACCTTTGTCAGAGGAGTTAAGTCCTTGACATGGAGTAGTTTTATTAATATCTTCCACTTCCAAAAGGAAAATGAAATCTATTTCAGTAGACTCACACACACAGTAAGACCACACAATTGGTGAAACAAAATCCAAACCAGAGCCAAGAGGGAAAAGGTGAGAGAAGAAGACGTTGATAAGGAGCTCCGAGCCAAGGTGCATCTCAGCACCCAAGTAGGAACCTGGAGCCAGCGCTCCTCTCAAGAGAGCCAAATGGCACCAATACAGTGGATTGGGAGGGGACATAGCATGCATATCCAAAACCTAAAACTACATTTTCTCTGGGCACATTACTCAAAGAGTTGATGACAGGGACTTTTGTGTAGGCAGCTCTCAAGGGAGATAAACAATGTTTTCTAAATACGTATTTGCTAAAAGTAAACACATGTAATTTTGTTCCCTGCCTTCTCTTTATGATGCTCCTCTTTGGCTACTTATTTCATAGTCAAAGGTTGAACTTGGATATGCCTGGGGAGTACCATCCTGGCAGCCACAGAGAATCTTAAACTCTGGGATTTGTGTGCATTGCTTAGAACCTGGGGGTTCTGTCCCTTCATCCTGCTTGCCAGAGCAGCAGAGCCAAGGCTGTGCCCACTTGTGAGGTTGTGCCTACTTTGGCAGGCAGACCAACAGCCTGTGTCCTCTGCCCTGTCCTCTAGGTGAGATGGTACGCCAGGCCCGGGTCCTAGCCCAGGCCACTTCTGATCTCGTCAATGCCATGAGGTCAGATGCAGAGGCAGAAATCGACATGGAGAATTCAAAGAAGCTCCTAGCAGCTGCAAAGCTCTTGGCCGACTCCACTGCTCGCATGGTGGAAGCTGCAAAGGTATTGCATTGGGTTGGTTGGTTTGAAAAGTGAACTCTGTGATGTGTGAGGATTGGAGAAACCTTCAAGATGGAGGGTGGTCAGCTCTGTGTGTGTGCGCATGCGTGTGTATGCGTTTCTGTTTGTTTAAGAGCTGTGTGGCTTTGCAACATTTACCCAGTTCAGGTGGCAGAGGAGGTTGTTGAACATGCAGAAAAAACTCTTCAGGGGAGAGCAGTGCTGCCGACTCTGCTGTAGACAGCTCTGTACCTGCTCCATGGGCAGTACCACTGGCTGCATTGCAAGTGGTGCTTTGTTAAAACAGTAGAGTTTCAACAGTGAATCCTCCTGTGATTTTTCTTTCTGTAGCCTCCATGTTACCTTGCCCTCCATCTGACTTCTCAACTAACTTCCTTTCAAGATTTTGCAATGTTGAGTGTCTCCCCTTTCACTGTGCTTCAAATCCCAGCTACAGGCTAAGGATCCCTTATGCAAAACTCTCAGGACCAGAAGTGTTTCAGATCTCACAGCTTTCATGGATTTTGGCGTATTCCATAGACTTTACTGATTGAGCACTCTAATCCAAAAATCCATGATCCAATTTCTGAGGATCCTGTTGGCTCTCAAAAAGTTTCAGATTTTTTGGATTTCAGATTATCAGTCTAGGGATGCTCAACTTGTATAAGGGTTAGAGTTGAAAGGTAGCATTATTCATTTTGACAGCTATGCAGTAGCATGGTGTTTCTAAAAGCCAGTGATTCTTAGCCAACAGCCTGTTTCAGACTCCCCATGAAACATATTAAAATGCACCTGCCTCAGGCCCACACCCTCAAAGATCCTGAGTCCTAAACTCCCCAGTGAGTCCATGTGTGTTCCACAGGGTGTCCTCATGCACACCTCTAGGTGAGAACTGTTTTAAAAGGACGAAGCCATATTTCTCTGTTTTATTATACATCTAGCTCACATTTCTCCTGGAATTGATGGAAAATGCAGATAAGTATAAAAACAAAAATAGCAGCCACCTTCAACTTCCTGCTCCCCAAATAACATCTATGCATATATGGATTCATGATACCTCTCTGCATCTTATCTCCCTGGCTCCAGTGGAGTGGTAGCCTGTCTTAACCAAATTTGTGAATTCACTTGAAATGCATTGGGACACAGGGCTGGAAACATGGCTCAAGTGGTAGAGTGCTTGTGTAGCATGAGGTCAAGTTCAAAACCAATACCACCAAATACATAATACATACACACACACACACGTGTGTGTATACATACATGTCTATATATGTTGAGATTTGTGGAGGACCATGCCCACCTGAGAGACTGAGAGTCCATGAAAGCTCCAGGGAAGAGGAAGGAGAGACCCAAGGAAGGGCATGGTCTGAACTCTTCTTCTGTCTCTCTTGGTTCCAGTCAAGATCTGCTTTTAACCACTCCCTTTTAGGGGAAAAAAATGTACTAGGGTTTTGCATGGTGGCTAATTTTTTAAAGGTTTCACTAGTTTTTATTTCTTTTTTTACTCCCTTCTAACTCTAGGCAAAGCTATTTCAAACAAACTCATGTTTCAAAAAAAACTATTTGTTAGAATGAGAAGAGCCATAAGGAAAATTTAGGCAATCCCTTATTTTACACATGAGAAAAATTGAGACTCAAAAATGAAGCCAACACCACATACCTGAAATAAGCCAGGACCAGCATGCACACTTGTTTCTTGTGTGATTATTCATCAGGACAATTCTCTGAGTTTACCAAGTTAACCAAAATTGTTTCTTCTAAATACTTGTGATTTGGGATAATTTATTTCAGATGTGACAATGTGTTTTTATAAATTATTTGAACTTTAGTTAAAAGTTGTCACTCGGTCTTCATAGTAATATTTCAGTATGCCAAATTTTGTGGAAAGCTAAAGAATGTTTGATGGGCAGAACTCCAAAGGATGCACTAATGTGCAGAAAAAATATATGTATTTCCTAAATCAGTAACTAAGATTTCAGGCCAAGCTTAGTCCCTCATTTCTAGTATATGCCCCTCATAACAGACATTGCAGTGGAAGGTCCATAGTGCCCTCATCCATGTGAAATGTGAGAGGATTGTTTACAGGTACACAGAATACAAAGTTAAGGCTGGTGTACACCTGAGACATCGAAGGAGGGGCTTACAACACACCTGATCACCAGGAAAAAAATGAAATGAGCTTCCTACACTTGCAAAAGAATGCAAAAGCAGCCCAATCTTTTCATACATGAAATGCAGAAATAAAATGTTTTCATTGCTCAAGATATAAAATCAGACTATTAAAAGTAGTTAAAATTAGAAAAGGAGATCCTACTCAAGAAGATTGCCAAAGCAGTTCTGTCTGGATATTGGGACTATTCCATCCAGTATGGATTGCTGTAACTTTTATAAGTAGTGGAAAGAAATGGCATATGGCAAATTAGTGAATTTGACCAATTAACTATTTGGAAAATTTAAACATTTCAAAAAACTGATTTTCAATAATTAGCATGCTTCTCTCTGCCTTCTTCCCTGTCTCACAGCAAATATTGTTGTCCTAAAGTGTTCATAGAAAGAAACCTGTTGATCTGTATACATCAACCACTGGTCACAAACATCCAGGCCTCATGAGAAAGATCTTGATTACTGTTTGCTCTATGTGGGAAGAGGAAGGCTGGATGTGCTTTTTAAGTCTTTGTTTAATTATTGTGGAGCAAAAATGGTACCCCCTTCTGTATATTACCTTTAGCCTGAGATTCTCACACATTTAAATAAAATCCACATAGATTCTGAGGACAGGTTCAACTAAAGTGCCATGGTGCAAGGGCTGTGGGGCTGGACCAGGGAAGCTGGTGGTGGGGCTGTCTGGGCACCATGCCCTTTTTCTGCCAGGTTAAGGGGATCAGGTTTCTCTCTGTTAAGTTCAGCACCAGTTCTGCTCTGCTCTATCCTTCAACTCAAAATCTCCAGGGAAGTGACTTCTAAGTGTAGCCTTTCACAGCCTTTCCTTATAGTCACTTTTTGAAGGACAATCCCCTATGGTCCTCTCCTCACTCCATTCCCGCCATCTCCTCCATGCTTGTCCTTGTGCTTTTACTGGACTCTTCACCTCTCACATTACCTGTGTCACCCAATGTTTTAGGAAAGATATGAAGATGTGTGCCAATACTACATCCTTCATGTCAATTAAAATTAAATTCTCCCAGATTAATGGGGAGAGGAGAGATTTCTCTGTACATCTTCTTTGAATGAAGTTTTAATTTGACACATAATTGTACATATTGATGGAGTACAAAGTGATATTTCAGTGTATATGATGTGTACTGATCAAATTAGGGTCATTGGCACATCTGTCTCCTCAGACATTTACTGCTTCTTTGTGTTGTGAACATTCCAAATCCTTTTTGCTGTCTTTAAACATACAGTCAATTGCAACCATAGTTACCCTACTGTGTGATAGAACATCAGAAGTTGATCCAGTGCACTCTTGTCTGTACCTCTTAACCATCCTCATCCTCTGTCTGCTCCCCTCTACCCTTCTTAGCCTATGATAAAGACTGTTCTACCTCCTGCTTCCATGAGAACTACTTTTTAATATTTGACACAATAGTATTTCAACTCAGTTCAAGGTATTTTTAAAAAGTAAATGATGCTTCCACAACTGTCCATCCTAATGGAAGAAAATTACTGGGCCCTTTATCTTTTATTATATGTAAACGTAAACTCCAAATGTATAAAATGTATTTTTTTAATTTTAATTTTAACTGATACATAAAAGGACAAAGTTGTGCATATTACTGGGTAATATGTGATATATTCATTTCTTGTAAGTCCTGGGCGTCTAACCACAAGGTGATTTGTATAGCTGACCAAGGCCCTGGCCTCCAGGGTTTAATTACTATCATTGGATACTGTTTAGCCATGTGGGTGTGAAAATCCCTTAATGGATATTTTTGGTTTATCATAAAGACACTGTTTGTTGCATTTGGCTTTCCATCCAGGCACTTTCTGTTACGAGGAAAAAGTAAAAGTAAAGTCATGTGTTCAGTGACTGTGGCATGCTACCCCCAGGCCACTTGAAATCTTTATCTTCACCTTCACAGGGGGCTGCAGCCAACCCAGAGAATGAAGACCAGCAGCAGAGGCTAAGAGAAGCAGCAGAAGGCCTTCGTGTCGCCACCAATGCTGCTGCTCAGAACGCCATTAAGAAAAAAATCGTCAACCGGCTGGAGGTCAGGAAAGAGACTGGCTTCTAGAATGCTCATTTTAGATCACCAAGAGTTATTTGAAAAAAATAGTTGAATCAACAAAATGATGCCCATAGAAAGAAAGCTAAATCAAGGCCAACAACCTTGTTAGGTGGTTTAGGTACTTTGGAGGAACTCCAAAGTTCCTCCACTGCACAATTTGAAACATTGCTGCAGTTTGTGGTCTCCAAAGGCTAAACTCCTTTCTGAGACTATATTCAGAAATTGAATGCAAGCTTTTTTTCAACAGGACCAGAGATTTTCTCCTTCTGGCCTTACAGGATGCTCATTCAGGAAGGACCATTCACTGAAAATGTTTACAGTTTACAGGAGCCACTCAGTTTTTCTGGGCTTCCCATAGAAAATAGGGACTTGGGAACTGTTAGTTAAGGAACATGCTTGTTGGAGAGGGATAGAGGGGAGTAAGAAGAAATATTGCTGTCATTTTTTTCAGAATATTTATTCTTTCAACAAAAGGTTTAAAAATAGTAAATAGGCTCAAACTGTTTAAGAATAAACATGTACTTTTACAACTGTGCACAGGAGACACTTACACTAAGATGCGGGGGTCTAGAGGCTGAGTTGCCTTCCTATTTGTGAGGAATTCCTCCATGTTCACTCTGTTGTGTTCTGGAAGAAAATGACCTCATTGCTCTTTTCCGGAAGGAGATGAGAGGGTGAACTCGATTATGTGTCCCAGGGGGATGGTCTCAGCATGTCTGAAACAAGGCCTTGGGCATGGTGAGAGGAAAAGAAGCAGGCACCTGCATTTGTGTTTGTCACAGAGAGCAGCCTGTACTTCCTGGGGGACATCTTTGTTCCCCTAGAATATTTCAACTCAGTGCTGCTTGTCAGTAATGCCATCTCAGTGTTGGAATTGTCCCTTGTCTTTTTAAGAAAGATAAGTGAAGGTCAGGAGTCAAGCTTTCAAGCAAGCCTGTTTTTATCACTCCATGGGGGGAGTGTGAACCCAACATAGACAACAGGGCCTGTTAAGTTGGGAGCCTGAGTAACATTTCGAAGCCACCCTGCCCCACCTGCAGTGGAAGTAACATCATGTGTGTACACTGGCTTGTGCAGAGCTGACTGGCCTGTCTCACTTTCCCCTCTAGGTTGCAGCCAAGCAGGCTGCAGCCGCAGCCACACAGACCATTGCGGCCTCCCAGAACGCAGCTGTTTCCAACAAGAACCCTGCCGCCCAGCAGCAGCTGGTCCAGAGCTGCAAGGTAAAGTTCAGTCACACAGAGGCCAGGTCCCCTGTAGATGGCTCATAGAATTAGACTGCCACATGCCCTGGTAACTCGGTTATGACAGATCTTCCAAGTTCCTAATCCAGTTTGCTCCGACTCCATGTTCCAGGTGTAGCCACGTCTGGTTTTTGTCCATTAAGTGCGTGGCCTGCATTTGGAGGGGGGTTATTTTTTTTTCTTCCAGCCTGTCTGCCCTTTGTCCATATTCTTTTCAAGGGATTGAATCAAAAAGAATCAATGAGGAGACCATTTTAGGGCTCTGAAATAGTAATGAAGCATTGACTTTTCAGAGCATCTCTCTTTTGGAGACAGCCTTCACCTTGTCTATATTCACTGGAGCAGGCTGATTTCCTGCCTTCTGGTAATGCCACCTCCAGGGCTGATTTCGTTCTGTTTGCCTTCTGTGACCTTGCTCTTTGGTACTTTCTATTGCTGCTTGTTTGTCTCTACTCTTCTGAGACCCAGACTTCGGTGCTGAGTTGAGGCCAATTTACTATACTCCGTTGCCTTCTCTTCAGGCCCAGGGAGTTAACTCTCCCAGGACACCTCTGAACAATGCCACACACAAAATCCACTTGGAGTACCATTGCTCAGACATGGCAGGATGTCTTGCTAGAGTGTCCTGAAGGTGTAACAGTGGGAATTCTGTGATGGACATGTTTGCATGTGGGCTGGGAGAACCAACCATCCTATCTCTCCTTCAAAACGCTCTGAAATAATGACTCAATGTGTGAGGGGTGTCACCACAGTACTTCTTAGGGAAGCACCTGGAGTTCTCTCTCCCTGATTCTGTGTTCTCTGAGGCCCCTGTTGAGAAGTGAAGATGCTTTAAGAAGAAGCCTTAAGGATGCCTTGGGGTCCTGAGCCCTGTGCTTGGGACCTCTGGAAGGAGAGGGACTTGGTGAGAGTGAAGCCCTTGCTTTGGGGAAGTTTCTTCCTATTCCAGCCTCTATTCAGCTGCCAGCAGGGGTGGGAAAATGGCCTTTCACCTCCTCGGGGAGCACATGCTACTTATGTCCAGGGTCAGGCCACAGAGTGAGCTTTCTCTCCCCCTCTTGCAAAGAGTACTGAAGATAGCTAGGTTTCCAAGTGTCACTGCCAGGAAATGAGAAGTGCCATTTATCAGGCAAGTAGACCAACTTACTGGAACCAGAAACCCTGGACAGGGCCTGGAGAAACTTCCATGGAAGTATTTTTTAACACTTTCTGGAGTGGGTTCTTGGGGGAAAAAAAAATGCACCAGCAGACAAGAAAGAAAGAAGTGTCCAGTACATTATTTCTCTTTCTTTCTTTCTTTCTTTCTTTTTTTCTCTTCCCTCCCTTCCTCCCTCCTTCCTTCCTTCCTTCTTTCATTTTTCCTTCTTTCTTTTTTTCTTCCTTTCTCTCTCTCTCTCTCTCTCTCTCATTCTTCCTCCCTCCCTTCCTGCCTCCCTCCTTCCTTACCTCCCTCCCTTCCTTCCTTTTCTATCTTGGCAGTACTGAGGATTGAACTCAGGGCCTCAAGTTTGCTAGACAAATGCTCTACCACTTGAACCACACCCCCCAATCCTTTTTACTTTTAGTTATTTTTCAGATAAGGACCTGTACTTTTGCCCAGGCCAGCCTCTGACCTTGATTCTCCTACCTCTACCTCCTGAGTAGTTGGGATAACAGGCATGAACCACCATGCTTAGCTCTATACAGGGCATCTAATCAGCAGTGAGAGCAGTGGTGCTGGGTTCTTCAAAGCCTGGTTCATCAGAGGAGAAGTAGGCACATAGGGGAAGGTGGAAAGCCAATCTTCTAAGGCACTGCAGGAGATGGTTACTATAGGCAATCCTGCCTTGCCCTGTGCTACTGCTCTCTCCTTTCCCGTGGGTTTTGGGTTTTCTGTTTTGAGAAATGATAAGCACTGCTTAGAACAGCAAACCAGAAGCCATGACCACATGAATCTGGTGCACGGAATGCATGCCTGCATCTAGGACTTAGCTGGTAGTGGAGTCTTTCTCTTACTTTCTTCATCATGGAACCACATAACCTCAGTTTTATCCACCTGTGAATGGTGTGGACTCTGTTTTTGCCTCTGCAGCCCTAGTGGCTAAGGTAGTGGGAGTTGCAACTGGGGAAATTCTTTGAAGGCTTCGTTATGGAGGATTGCCTTCTGCCTTACCCAGTGAAATCGTTAGGACCACAAGTTCTAGTGTGTGGGAGAAGAGGACCCAGAGAATGGGATTCAATGGGGGGTTTTGTTGTTGTTTTTGTTTTCAGTTTTTTTTTTTTTTCTTGGTTGGGGGCGCGGGGAGGAACCTAGTCAGGTGAGCATACTGGGTAAATCCAAGGTCTGAGACTTGTGTCCTCTGGAAGTGGATACCACATCCACAAGTCTGACCTCTGTTGGTCATTCCACCATCTTGCTGTGCTCACTTCCTGTCTCCTTGCTTCCTGTAGGCAGTGGCTGATCACATCCCTCAGCTGGTGCAGGGTGTGCGAGGGAGCCAAGCTCAAGCCGAAGACCTCAGTGCCCAGCTGGCTCTCATCATCTCCAGCCAGAACTTCCTCCAGGTAACACAGACATGGTCACCTGATCTTAACTTAGTGCCCCTGTCTAGTGGGGCTGCCCTCTTCTTAAGGAGAAGATGTGCAAGTCCCAGGGCCTTAGCTACATCTTTGCATAAGCAGGCTTGAAGGCCTCTTTACACGTCCAGTCTCAGGAGAGAGAGGTTCCGCTTGGCAAAGCAAGATGCTCACATTCAGGGAAATTGCTCCAGGGAGATGGACCATCCATTCTTCTCCTGGAAGATAGAAAGCATACTAAATTGCAAGTTGTGGTGAACAGCTGAGGACCAAGTGTGGCTTTGACTTCCTTAGTTCCTAAAGTGCTTTAATGCTGTCATTCATCGACTGGGGAAACACAGGTAGCAGTCATGTCTTCTGAAAAGATGTAACTGGTCCTCACAGCCCTTTGTGGGGTGAAGGACAGATTTGTTTTAAGGAAAATTGAGTAAAGTAAGACTATTAAGTTGTGGAGAACACTTCTACATGCTTCTTATATTGCAATGTGTCTGCTTTGTCAGCGCTCTGTCTACTCGTGTCTATTAATGGGAACTGGGATGGGCCAGTGCACCTCCCCATCCCTTTCCGATCAAACCCACGAACCCGTGATACATCCATTGGAATAAGTTTTCAAGTGCTGTCACCCCAATGTCCAGGATAAAACATGAAAGTTTGACCTATTTCCTTATGTTTTTGCTACACACAGAGACATATGTAAACATACATGTATAAGTCTATAATCTTTTGAATTGGAATTCATCATATGGAAACCCTTGGGGCTTTTCATGTAACATGTGCAGTTGTGTTTTGAATAATCTTCTATACTGTGGCTATACCCTGGTTGCATGCAGGTTTTTAATTTTTTTATCATCATAAGTAACCTGTAATATGACACCTCTTTATGTGCTCAAATCTCCGTCTTAACCTACTACTTTTAGGGCAAATTTCTAGAAATAGGATTGCAAACAGCTTATTTTTTTTCTTTGAGTCACTGAGGCTTATGACTTGGATAAGATATTTCTCTCCTTGTTTTGTCCCAGGGCCTTGTTGTGTTAGCTAAGCAAGCACTCTACCACTTGAGCTATGCCCCCAGCCCTTTTGTTTTTATTTTGTTTTGGGGACAAGTTCTGGCAAAGTTTTCCCAGACTAACCTCAAACTTGTGATTCTCCTACTGCCACCCCTTGAGTAGCTGGGATCACAGGTATGTGCCACAAGGCCTGGCTGATATTTCTTTTTCTTTCACACAGGAACCAGCTGTGCATTTTGTCCCCAGCAGGAATGTAGGGTATTTTATTAAAGCAGTGTAGCCATGTTCCTGTTCCACTCTGTCTCTACTCTTAGGTGCTTAGGGATCAAACCCAGGGCCTTTACATACTAGGCAAGTGCTCTATCCCTGAGCTATCTCCCTAGCCAGCTTATACATTTTACACTTTCTTTATACATATTGTGGAATTGCCCTTCCAGAAGGTTGAACACATCTAAATTTACAACTCACAGTATATAAAGCATATTTTTAACACATCTTTTATAAGCTGGGGAGTTAAGCACTTTAAAAAAAAAAAAGTTTTTGCCAGTTTTTGCCACAAAATTCTTTTTGTTTGATTTTGCATTTCCCTGATTTTCACAATGTTAAACAATTTTCACATGCTTCTGTTGTGTGCTTTTGTCTGTGAATTTGTCTATTCATGCTTTTATACACTCATGCTTTTTTTTTCTCATTACTTCTTTAAATATTAAAAATGTTAACTTTTGCCCTTAATATTTATGATCTGACACTTATGTTGTTACAGCCTTTCTAAAAACAGTTTTACGTGTGTGTGTGTGTGTGTGTGTGTGTGTGTGTGTGTGTGTGTGTGTTAAAAGCCTTAAAATATGTTTGCTTGGGTTTTTTTTTTTATTGTTTTTTGGTAATGCTGGGCTTTGAACTCAGAGCCTCATGCTTGCTAGGCAGACTCTCTACCACTTAAGCCACTCCCCCAGCCCTTTTTTCTTTAGCTATTTATCCAGATAGGCTCTAGCATATTTTTGCCTGAGGCCTGTTTGCCTGTCTTGAACTGGGATCCTCCTGCCTTTGTCCCCATGTAACTATAATCCTTGCAACTTCTTACCAGGATTGTATTCAAACTGCTATGGTCCTAAATTTCTGTCTCCTTAGAGTCTGGAATTAAGGCGTGAGCCACTGCACTTGGCCCCTGTGTATATTTTCTGTTCCAGAAATTCTGCTTTCAAAAATTTAAATAAAATTACAAATGTATGCAGTGGTTTATCTGCTTGTTCATAATTGTCCATGACAATGAAGAAAAATAGAAATATATCAACTCTAAGGGATTGAAATGTGAGCAGATGTATGCAATGGGATGCACTGTGGCTAATGAAATGTAAAATCTGTGAAACACAGAGACTACAGTTAAACAAGTAACGTGCCGTTATTTTTTAAAATATATGTACATATGCATAGATATCCATGGTTTCTGAGATGTGAGGTCATTTTGTTTTATTTGCCTTCATTTTTCTAAATAGTTTCTTGGGTATGTTTGAACTCAGAGTAAAGAACTATTCTGAGAAACACAAATAAACCTATCTGATAAGGTGCTGTCTTGGAAATGTGTTTGAAATGAAAATTTTAAACCCCTATCCTAACTTTGCCTCTCCTGCCGTGATCACAGATACTTAAAAAAAAATTCTAGAATGTACTGCTGTAGAATATCTGATCTGGGATGGTACTTGGGATAGTCTGGATTGGAAACCAGTTGATATTTAATGTCCCCTTTTTAGAACAGAATGAGTTCTGGCCACTGTGAAGGCATTGCTGTTCCGTCTCTCTGCCTCTTGCTGCCTGGGAGATGTCTTATTTTCTGCTCATCTTTCCTCAGCCTGGAAGCAAGATGGTGTCCTCTGCCAAGGCCGCAGTGCCCACCGTGAGTGACCAGGCCGCAGCCATGCAGCTGAGCCAGTGTGCCAAAAACCTGGCGACCAGCTTGGCTGAGCTGCGTACCGCCTCACAGAAGGCAAGTGGACCTCGTCACAGCCGTTAGCTCATGGGGGATGGGGCTTTTCTATCCTCACTGCTGGTGCAGTGTGGGCCTGAGCCTGAGCACTGCCAGACCTATTTCTTGGCAGAGCTGGCTGTTCCATTTGCGTGACCATTAAAGATTCCCCCGTAGCTGTGCTTCTTTTGCATTTACAACTGTCTCCCTTAGTTGTTACCTTCCAGTTACATTTTAAGTACACAGTTCTTCCTCCTCCTGTGTCCTGGGACAAGGCAACATTCAGTGGTCAGGTTTTTAGTCTCTGGGGAGAATGGTAGGAAGTTTCTTGGTGCCGGGCAAATTGTGGGCCAAAATAAATGTATTAGTCAGCTTTCTGTTGCTGTAACAAACACCTGAGAGAACCAACTAAAATGAAAGAAATGGTTTCATAGATTTTAATCCATGGTCACTTGACCCCATTACTTTGGATCTGTGGTAGCATGGTTCACAGTGGTGGGAGTGTGGAGCAAAGAGATCTATTTACCTCATAGCAGCCAAGAATCAAAAAGGCAGACAGGAAGGAGCTGAGATCCCAATACCCCCTTCAAGGACATGCTCCCAGTGACCTAACTTCTTTCCATTACGCCACACCTCTTAAAAATTCTACCACTTCCCAATAGCACCACACACTAGCCACCAAACCATCAACACATGGGCCTTTGGGGGAATTTCAGACCCATACTATAGCAATAAGTCATCAAGACTTTCAGGTATCATCTTGTTTGTTTCTTTTGGAGTCTTTTATTTTGGGGGGGGGGGTTGTTTTGTTTTAGAATCAGGGTCTCACGCCCTGTATAGCTATCCTTATCTCAACCTGCAAAACCCCTTGTTCCTTCCTATTATTGCTTATACTCTCTCTACAACAAAATTAGAGATAAGGGCAAAATAGTTTCTGCTGGGTATTGAGGGGGGGAGCGGGAGGGGGTGGAGTGGGTGGTAAGGGAGGGGGTGGGGGCAGGGGGGAGAAATAAACCAAGCCTTGTATGCACATATGAATAATAAAAGAAAAATGAAAAAAAAAAAAAAAAAGAATCAGGGTCTCACTTTGTAGCCCAGGCTACTCTCAAATTCATGATCCTCCTGCCTCGGCCTCCCAAGTGCTGGGATTACAGTTGTACATCACCACATCCAACCTCCAGGTATCATCTTAAGGAGTTGGTAACAAATGATTTAAGCCTAAGTCAATTTTGGGTAGCCATCTTTACTATCGTGTTTGCCTTAAAAAGCTTTTACACCCTACATGGAAGTATTCATCTTGACAAGGTTCAATAGAAAAGAATTTGAAGTGAAATAAATTTCTGTCTCTGAAACTTATTAATACCGAAGTTCTCATGTGGTATCAGTATGAATTTATTTCTCTTCATTGTACCAATTATTTTATGGAAATAAGCAGCCTCATAAACTGGTGGAGGAAAAAGACAGAAGCTGACCTAAATGCATAATATGAAGAGTATACCACATTGCCAAAGAGTAATAACCAGAGCTGAAGACCATATCCAACAGCTATTTCTCAGTTCCTGGACCATCACCACTAGAAACACCTAGAGGTGCTTGGGAATGAACATCTACATTTTAAATATACTCAGTGAATCTTAGACACACATCGTCATCATAAGGTGTGTCAGGGCAGAGCAGCACACTCCAGACAGGGGCTCAAACAAGACTGACTTCTGGGTACAGGCAGACACTGTGAGAGCTTGCAAATATTTTTTTTTTAAAGTAGTGTAAGGTTTTCTTTTATGTAGCATGCAGTCTCTCGGAATAAGATTGCCCATGTTCAAATCATGACCCTGTCACTGGCTTTTGTGTCATTGACTTGCCTGGGTATATTAATTGACCTCTTTGTGCCTCAATTGCCTCACCTGATAATGCTGGCACATAGAAATCAATAATTACTATTTACTACTGCTAGTGTTACTGTTATTTTAAAAAGGGAAAGAAATTATGATTCACCAGTATTTCATCAGTGATTGCACGTACATGTAATTTATTGGGGTGTGTGTGTTGGGGCCATGTAGTCACAGTGTTGAGTCATAATAGTTTTCTTATTGCTTCTCAGCCTTTGACTAAGATCAAGTATGAAATATTTTTCTTAAATAACTAAGGGAAAAGCTGGTATAATCTCTAGTTCAGAAAGATAATGATTTATAATCTAGAAATGTAGGAAGAGAATGAGCGTTGCTATGGACCTGCCCCTGGAGTCCTGGGTTGATTTGATCATTCATTTGTTCACTGCATAATATGTCCCATGCCTCTGTGTGCACACATGCACACATGGCTGTGTGCCTTGTCTCTGCTTCAGGAAACTTTTACATATATCCAGTTATAAGATTACATAATTGACTGGGGAAGGTAAAACTAAGGTTGACCGAGGATGCTTCTGTTCTCTGGGGAAATACTTGGTACCCTTGCATGATTAAGACAATCACTAGATTGACTGTAGTGATTCACTAGAATTATTAGAATCTGCTAGATTCAGACAATCACTGGGTGTCTCCAGGAAAGCACTTCATGTGTGGCAAAGTATTAAGTTCACTTTCCCAGGTTTACTGTGCATTTTTTCACCACTCTGTTGACAGGCCCACGAAGCCTGTGGTCCTATGGAAATCGATTCAGCTTTGAACACAGTGCAGACACTTAAGAATGAACTGCAGGATGCTAAGATGGCAGCCGTGGAGAGTCAGCTGAAACCACTTCCTGGGGAAACGGTAAGCCATCCGAGCGAATGGAGCGTGGGTTCTACTCTTGTTAAGAGGTTATGATTAGTGTCCTTGAATTTCAAGCATTTTGAACAGCTGAGATAAACCACATTTCTTTAGAACTACATTAAGATAAAGGCTTCCCTGAGGGGCCTCTAGTGAAACAGGCATTTTTTAATATTTGCCCCTGCTTTTGATAAAGGAGACAGATGCTAGTGTTTCAGGTCAGTGTTCTAATCCTGTGGCCTTTTTTAGAAAGGATACCCCAGGAAGCTGCTGGGTCTAGGTCTGTAGCTAAAGGCTGGCTTCTAGACCCAACTAGCCATAGCCAGCATCTCCTCCGTGTCTCAGCTATTTTATCTACGAAATGGGTGGCAAGGAGGTTATAATGGTAAGCACAGAAAAGATGGTCAACAGTCACAGGGTTTTTGGGGGGGAAGAAGGGTGTTGTTTAGAATTTTGTTGGTTTGGGTTTTAGAAGTACTAGGATTTTCAACCCAGAGCCTTGAGCATGCTAAGCAGGTGCTCTACCACTTAAACCATACCCCTGCCCTTTTTTGCTTTCAGGCCCTTTTTCCAAGTATGGTCTTGTGTTTTTGCCCAAGGTCAGCCTCAGACTGGGATCTTCCTACCTACAGCCTCCTGTGTAGGTAGCTAGGATGACAGGCTTATACCATCACACCCGGCTTTTTGGTTGATAATGAATGGGGTCTTGCTAACTTTTGCTTGAGCTGACTTCAAACCTTGGTCCTCCTGAGAGCCCTTCCTCCTGAGTCGCTGGGATTGTAGGTGTGAGCTACCATGATTAACCTAACCGTTGTGTTTTAGAAAACACAGATGCCAGCCTTGATCCTGATGAGCCGTGCGCTCTAATGGGGTACTCATCAGGCAGCCAATCCCTTTATTTTCCCTTTGCTACTTTAAAAGATTAAAAAAAATAATAACTCCCTTTTGACTTCTTATAATTCTGTTGATGTGTGAATAGGGCAGTGCCCAGGTCTTAATCAAACTTACTGTCATTATGAGGAATCTGGCCGTTCCATGAATGTTGTCAGTAGTATGTTTGGATTGAGAACTCAAAAATGTAGTGTAGACTTTATAATTATCACATGGATATTATCCTTGTGACTTTGAGTTACAAGATAGAATAAATTATAGTCTGCATTATTTGTGGACTAGATGCTAAGCATTCTTATTTAGATTAAGGAATTAATTTTTTTAAAATTCCAAGTTAAAATAGAAAAAAAAAAAACCAAACCCAAAACATTTACTTAATGATAGGCCCTGAGAAGGATACAGCAAATCACTATAATACAGTTTCAAGTGAGACAGTGACACCAACTATTATCATACCTCCTGATGATTACATCAGTTTTCTTAGCAAAAATTTTGCTAACCCTTTTTTATATGTACTTACTTAACCACTTTTTTCTGAACATTACCAATAAAATGCTACCATTTATCAAGCACCTGTTAAGCACTCTACACACTGTTTAATCTATCCTGATAGTAACCCTAGTGAGTAAGTTTTATTAAACCCATTTCCAGCTGAGAAAACCAAGGCACAGAGGTGCCACCACTCTGTCCAATGATATTTGCTAATTAGTGGAAAAACCAAAATTTGAAACCAGATCCACAGGACTCCAAAACCTATTCTGAAAGTTTCTCCTCCCCACCTGCGGTGCTGGGGGTGGAGCCCAAGGTCTTGAGCAAACACTGTACTACTGAGCCACACCCCCACCCTAAGAGCTGCTTCTTTTTTCTGGAGGACCTGCAGTTTGAACTCAGGGCTTCATGCTTGCAGGTAAGTACTCTGTCACTTAAGCCACACCACCAGCCTTAAGATCTTGTGCTGTTAACTGTGGGTGCTCTTTGAATGAACTAAAGATGTTTAGAATGTGAAGGAACTCCAGAAATGTAGAATGTATCACAGAACAATGCCTGGCATGCAGGAAGCACTCAAAAAATACTTGTTTCATCAAGTTACTGCAGTTGTAAAGATGAAGATACAGACTTAGAGAAGCTAAGTCACTTAGGTAAAGGCACCCAGCTAATGGCAGAGGTGGGATTAATTCGGGCCAGAAGCTTTGTAAAGTGGCCCAGGTGTCAACTCTTGTACTTGAAGGAGCCCAAGATGGCCTGAATAACATGAATTCCACCTTTACATAAAAGTAGAATGCAAGAAATACCTTGTAGTTTGTTTTTTGGGGTTTTTTTTTAAGTGTTGCCGTAAAAACAGTGTGCCCCATTTTATATTGTTGGCTATAATAGGCCAAGTTCTATTTTCATTTGAAGATACAGCCTCTCTTGGGGAAAGTGTTGCAGGTTAAAACTGGACATGTTCTCTTATGCCTTTCTGCCCTCTCACAGTGCACCTAGAAATTCTCTTCCAAAATGGCCTCACCTACTCTTCAAATAATTATCCGTACCCTAGGCCTTACTGCTTTTGTTCTCTAAATTTTTTCTTTGGTTTACAAAGCAATCTGCCATGCTGTACTTGGGAAGCAAGCACTTTGCCCATTTCATAACCTCATTTACCTCTCCAAACCTCTATTTCTCTTGCATTTCCTTTCAGTATGAACTTCTCAAAGTGTAATGATCAATTTGAACAAAGCTAACGGTCCCACATGTCAGGAAGGGGGTGCAGCTGGATGTCTGCCCACATCCTGCCAAGACATAGCTAATATCCACTAAGGATTTCTTGCAGACTCTCTAAATGGGCTTCTAAAGACATAATACTAATAGCTACCATTTGTTGAGAACCTGCAGTCATTCTCTGAAAACCTTCTCAGCTAGGTTTTACAGTCTTAGGAAACTGAGGCTGGAGAGGCTCAGTAACTCACCAAATCTCTCTAAGTATGGCTGGTATTAGTGGGCAGTCTGCATCCCAGACTTGTTTGTTCCTAAGCAGGACTCATTCCTCTGTATCCTCCTGCTGCTTAGCACCATGGCAGTATGAGGTTGGAAGAGCTAGGGCTCAAGGTTTCATCTGTGTTATTCTGAATTATGCTAAGACCTCAGTGGTTGTTTTAAGTTCTCTTCTCCTTGGATACTCTTACAGCTGGAAAAATGTGCTCAAGACCTGGGAAGTACCTCCAAAGCAGTGGGTTCCTCCATGGCGCAGCTCCTCACCTGTGCTGCTCAAGGCAACGAGCACTACACAGGTGAGACTCCTGCCTCTGGCAATGCCGTGAGGCCAGATACAGATCACGCAGTGTGGAGGGGTCTGGACAGAGTGTTCACTGATCTAGCAATAAACCTGATCTTCTTCTTAGCAGTTCACAGCGTATTTTTCAAGCACTTTTCACAGGCTTGTTACTAAGCATACAAGGACTGCTAAAATGATTCCCAAACTCTTTGGGGTCACTCTATTAGACTACAAACCAATAGTAATTACAGACTTCTAGAACTTTCTCTGACTCCAGAAATCCCACTGAAGTGAGGATAATAAGGTCAAAAAGAATAAGAGGTGACAACAAAGATATCTATGAAATTTTCAATAAGGGAAGTCAGACGAGTGGTAGTGATAGTGCTGTGTGAACCAAGCACTCAGGATGTCCTGTAAAACTGGGGTGGAGGTGGGAGAACTGTGTGCTGGAGGTACCATGTGTCCCCGGAAGACAGTAGTGTCCTTAAGCAGGAATCTGTGTAAAGAACAGATTGGGAATCACTAAGAAAAGTGGAAAGTTACACAAAAAGGAAATATTATCATTGTAAGCTGTCTACATGAATGTAAATCTTTTAAATAAAGAAAACTTACATTTAAAAATATGAAATACTATGTGGTGGCACATTCCTGTAATCCCAGCTACTCTGCTAGGCAGAGTGGTATGGCAGTTACCTACCAAGCTTGAGGCCCTGAGTTCAGTTTCCCCCAAAAAAATGAAATACTGGGAGAAAAAAACTATAAAGAACTGAGTGGCTTTGGGTGTAGGGATTGGGTGGGGAGGAGTGAGTTATGGATTATTGCTTTTGTTGTGTAGTAGATGTGTTTGACTTTTGTGAAATATTTGTCACTGTCACTATTGTCGAAGTGTAATATACACAGGTAAAGCAAGTAAGACAGCGCAAGTCCTAGGTGGATACCTCTGTGGTGTGAGTGATCTCAACCTGAGTGCACCCCAGAAGCTACCACAAAGGTCAAGAAATGGAATATTTTTAGCATCCTAATTGCAGGAATCACTCTTGCCAATCACTGCATCACCTCTCTCCTTCCCCAGAGGTAAAGGCTATGACATCTAACAGCATAGACTTTTTTCCTTTCCGATGTATGAATAAATGGATTCATACAATATGTGCCCCCATGTCCAGCTTCCTTTGCTCAGTGTTATGTTCTTGAGACTCATCTGTATATATAGTTTCCATTCTTTCTATGGGATTGCATTGTATGAATATTCCTGTTACTCTTTACACTGTTACTGGATACTTGGACTGTTCCCCCAAAACACTGCTCTGAACAGTTCTAATGGCATGTTGAATGAATAAAACTGAGCGTGTTCAAGGTTAGACCTGGAAGCAGTGTTGCGGGGTCAGAGGCTCTGCATGTATTCAGTCCACTCCGTTCAGCTGTGGGTGAATATTCCAAGTGTTCTGCATCCTGGTCACCACTTTTTGCCAGTCTTCCCCATTGTCATGGATGTCTATCACCTTATAATTTTAATTTGCATTTCTCTGATGAACAGTGTGATTGAAGGAAGATCTTTCCATATGTGTGTTGACCATTTTATGAAGGATTTATGTGTCTTCTGCCCATTTTTTAAAACCTGGCTTATCGTTTCCTTATTATAGGAATGCTGTGTCACTTAGATGTATTTCTTGTATCTTGTGGCTTGACTTCTTACTCCCTTAAGTGTGTTTTTGATAACCACATTATTTTTTATTTTAATATAGTCCAACTTGCAATTCTTTTCCTTTATGATCAGTACTTTTTATTTTCTATTTAAACCTTTTATCTATCCAGGATCATTATGGTATTCTCCTCTGTAGTATTCTATAGATCTTCTGTTTTATTTTTCATGTTTAGAACTGCAGTCCACCAGGAAGTGAGTTTTTTATGGGTGCAGTAGGCATATTGGTTTTTTACACTGATCTCTCTTGACCCTCTAGCACCTTTTGGAAAGTCTTGTCCCCAATGGTCTTTAGTCCCCATTACTATAAAGTAAGTGACCAAAGATGTGTGGGTTGTCTAGTAGTGTTGCTATTATTTTCTATTCATTTAAGGAAATGCCTGGTCTCCATACCACAATTTCCTATTTACAGCTGTTGTATCCTAAGTCATGTAATGCAAGTCCTCCAACTTTGCTGGACTTCCCAATTTAAGAGTTGACTGTTCTTGGCTGTTTGCATTTCCACATAAATTCTGGAATCAGTCTGTCAATCTCTAACACCAGGTAGATAGATATGCAGATAGATGGATGGATGGATGAATGGATGGATGGACGGATGGATAGATAGATCAGTGCAGTTTTATACTTTTCTTCATAGAAGCCTTTGTTTTGGTTAATGTGTCCATGGCACATCTTTTCCCATCCTTTTCCCTTCGGTTTGTCTCTGTGCACACATTTAATGTGTAGCTCATGAGCTTATAGATGTTCTTTGGGAGAGGACACATTATTTGATGTTTAGCAATCTTTTTCTTTTAATTGGAGCATTTTGTCTATTTATATAAAATGTAATTACTGATTTGTAGGAGCTCAAATCTGTCATTTCACTATTTTCCTACCTGTGTTGGGTCCCTTTTCTCTTTTCTTACCTTCTTTCAATCATGTTCACTTGTTAAATTCTGTTTCCTTCCCTTGTTTAACTTGTTAGCTGTATGGCCACTTTCTATTCTCATGATTTCTTGAACATGTTATTCTGTTCACCTCTTCTTGACGGTACAAGAATCTTGGTACACTTAACCTACCTTTCTCTCAACTCATATGTTGTTGTGTGGTTTAATTCTTAACACTTTGGTCTCAACACAGTCTAGCCTTGTTTCACGCAGTCCTTGATCACATGGATTTGCCCCTTTTTACCCTTTCCATCCTTCTGCATCTCTGTGCTTTATCACTTCAACCTGGGATCATTTTTCTCTTCTACTAGAGCAATTTGCTTCATTATTTCCTTTAGAGTAAGGCTACTAGTAATAAATTCTCTCCAATTTTATCTAAAAGTTGGAGATTTTTGTGTAGCCTTTATTTTTTTTTTTTGACTTACACACCTTCAGGTGATCTTTTTATTCTCTATAGGTCATAAGAGTCAAAGTCGACTTTGGAAAGCAAGATACATTCCCAATACTTTTTGAGTACAAAATAAACCAGTTCTTTGAAAACTAAGCACTTAGGTAACTTTCAAATTCCCTGGGTATTAAGGTGGTCCCTTCTTCCCCTTAAAAAATGGACACCCTACCCTTTCTCTGTGCATATTCCTCAAATGCCCAAGCTCTAGGTTGCAATCAATACTCTCTTCCAACACCTCTCTCTGAGAATAAATGATATACTGGTAGAAACATCCTGGACTACAGTCAACACTTAACTTTCTTTTCAAAATCAGAATTAAAAGTATTTTAATCATAATATTAAAATGCCAAGTTACCTTTTTATCTGAAAGTTACTCACACTATTGTCCTTAAAACTAAAGCCCATAAACTAATCTATTACTACTTGTGGAGGAAAGCAAGTTGCAATTTCCAAGTGTGCTACAATTAGATTGGGAATATGATTTAAGATCACAAAAGGCAGCAGCACACTCATCCAGGTATTTCTGAAATTTTCTATCCCTCATCCTCCCTCAAATACAGAACTTTTTTCCGATGAGCCCAAAAGGGCGTTTTCCATACCATAGCCTGAAAAGCCACTTCTTACAGGTATACATAACTTTGGTCAGCAGAAGCACAATGCAAACCTCTGGCCTGGCAAAGGCACTCCATTCTGCAAGTACGGAAACATGCATGTATGCTCCCCAACCATGGCACTGCCCCCACAAGGCAGCTCTGGAGGGAGAAAGACTGGGGTGTGAACTCACCCAAAATATCATGCCTAAGCTTGAATTATCTTTGATACTTTGGAAAGGTTATAGTAACTTGCATAACAGAAATGCACAGAGCTATTGATAATTTACTCCTGCACCTGCTGCTGTATCACTGTACAACAAATGGGGAGCTTTGAAAATGCATTCTGAAGATGGCAGACTAAAACAAGAAGTCACAATATAGGAAGGATTCACAAGTCCATAGTATTCTGAAACAGCTAATTGCTTGGTCTCCCTTCCCCTTGTTAACAGTCTTTCTTTCATTTAACAATAAAACTGATGATGGAAAAGTCATAAAGTATAGGCACAAAACAATTTTCAAATACATCTGATGCAACAAAAAGAGGGTAGAAACACATTTTGAAGGAAAAGAGCCCCCATAATTATAGGATATGGCCCTAATGCCAGAATTAAAGGGCATAGCCTTTATTTTTGACAGATAAGTTCACTTATGAATTTTAGGGTATAGTTATTTTCTTCAGCACTTTGAAGGTACTGGCTTCCTTTTGTTTCTGTTGTGAAGTCAACTGTAAAGGTAATTTGGTTTTATTTTTCCCTTCTGCTTGCTTTTTTTATTTTTCTCACTCTGGTTTTTAAGCAGTGTGCCTAGAATTTTCTTGCATATTTGTCCTTCTTTAGGTTGTAGTACTCCTTGAAAACGGAATTCATTGTCTTAGGTCAGTTTGCAAAAACTCTCAACCTTTGTTTCTTCAAATACTGCTCTGTCCCAGTCTTCCCTCTCTCGTCCTTCTCATGGATGCCTGGGTCCCACATCGCTTTACTGCTCCTGTGCTCTGTACATTTTCATCATTTTTCACTTCCTGCTTATTCTCTTCCTGCTCTCTTCTCCTCTCTTTAGTTATATCTTTTCTGCTTTTTTCCTTTCCTAGTAAGATCTTAAGTACCATATTCTCAGTTTTAGAAAATCCATCAATTTCCTCGCAGCAGTTATGCATCTTTTCATCTAACTTCTTCAACATATCTGTCACCATTATTCAAAGTCCAGGTCCAGTAAGTCCATTACTCAGATCCCCTCCCCCCAACTCTTGATTTTTTGGCTTTGGTGTTTCTGGTACTATGTTTTTCTTTCAGAAATTTTAAACTGTAGAGATAATTTGAAGCCCTAAATTGTGTGTTCTTCCCTACATAGGAA